TCATTCTAAACAATTAGAAAGAACAAATTATACATGTCTCCACAAACATAAAGAATATTAGTTGTTTAAGGAAGATATATTATTTAGAATATTAAATATATCGGGAAAGTAATTATATATGTGTGGGCGGGTACCCATGGGGCAGGTTTACCTAAACCCAAACCCAACCCGACCCGGTGAATAGTGTAGCGGGTTTAAACTCGAACCCGGCCCAAAACCCGTCAACACGGATTTTACCCGCGTTGACCGGGTTGGATCGGGTGGGTACCCGTGGGTTCGGGTTTTGTTGCCATCCCTAGATGACAGTAACCCTACAATTGGATTAAAAATTCAATCCACATACTAGCCGTCTAGAAGCCCAGCAGTTGGCTGCTTGCTTGCTTAGCTACTCAGGTTTAGTTACCATTCTGAACCCTTGTTTTGTCAAGTGGGGTTGATATGTTTCATTTCATGTCTTTTGAATAAGCATTCTTTAGGGAGTAAGTACATTAGACATTTTGATCATATTCGAACCTGAGACTAAGAGATCAAGCAAGTTGGTATGGTTCGAATTAAGAGTGTTGAAATGATTACCGTCGTAGCTACCAAATCAAAAGTACTCATAATATTGAGATTCACGGTCTTGGGCTTAAGATAGGGTGTATAACCTTAGAGTGCATAACTATAAGTAACCAAATCTGAACCCTTCTTTTAAGTGACTACAGATCTAAGGATTGTAAACTATAGACATTTTATTTCCCCTATTTTTCTTAATTGGATCATATCTTCTTCATTTTAACTCGGTTTTTTTTTTTTCACAGATGGAACGAGTTCGTTGTGCTCTACAAAATGAAATCAATTTTCAATATCTTTTGAGAAAAAAATTGCATACCTCTTGTTACCAACTCCATATCATATGGTATCTCCATCGCTTTTTAGTCGTTTTCGTAAATTTTTGCACAGAAGGAACGATTTAATCATGATCTATTGGATTTCAAAAATTTCTGGGTGAAAAAATTTCATACCACTCGTTATCAACTCCATACCATACTATACCACCCTGATATGGGGTGGTATTTTTCATACCATATGGTATGCTCTTATTTAATACTAGTCAATATCATATGGTATAGACTGGTAATATCTGGCTCAATTTTTTTTGTTCCAAAATACATAAAAGTGGATATCATTTTGAAGAGCACAATTAATCTGATCTGTGCAGAAAATTTAAATTCTGACTTAAAACGAGTGAGAAATCGTCCGTTAAAGATTAATGGGGAAATTAAAAGCTTTTCAGGAGAGAGAAAGGGCGCTGATGTGGCGGATTCTGATTGGGTTATGCATGGTTTATTGACCATAAGGTTACGCACCTGATTCGCTCTCACTAGAGATGACAATCAAACTCATGGCTGCGGGTACCAGCCCACCTCCGACCCCGTCAATGCAGGGAATCCCCGCATTGACCGGGTATGGATAAAACCAGCAAAGAACTTGATGGGTATGGGGCGGATATGGTTTTAGCGTCCCCCACCCCATACCCAAACCCGTCCCATCAAGGTATTTTGCTATATGTAAAAAGCTATAAATATATTTTTATAAATTAATATTAGCATGAAGGTAATTAAATAAGAAAATATGGTTAAAATGTAATTATATTTATCAAAAACCTTAAAATTTTCAACCCTCTCAGTCTGCTACAGTTTCTTTCACAATTCCTCAATGTCGCCGTCTTTCCTCTCCTAACTCCTGAATCATATTCGAGATGACCACCTTACCAAAAATTTTGATGAGATAGTAATAGGTAATTTCATATCATTTTTTTACAATTGAATTATTTTGATGCATATTGGTGTAACTTAGTGTTTGAATAATTGGTATTCTAGTACACTTTAATATTTGAGAAGCAAAAGAGGTTTTTGTCTAGTTGACAAGTTTATGTTAGCTATTTACTATATAGATGTGTTAGATTTGGAGATAAATGATTTGATATAGTATTATATATTTTTTATTTTATTGATTAATCAATATTTTAGGATTGAATGCTTTTTTATATTAAGAAAAACTATAACTATGTTAAATTCCGTTATTTATTATGTATTATTTTGTGTTATAATTGAAGACATACATATTGAAATTTAGATATAATAATATTGCTTATACGGGACGGGTATTATCCATGGATATCTTAGACCCATGGGTATGGGGCTGGTATGGATTTGATTATTTGGTAATGGGGATGAGGATGGTTTAGGCAAACTCACCCCCAAATCCGTCTCTTTTTTTTTTTTTTGCCAAAAGATCGCTCGTATTACCGAGAAAACAGCTAGATACACAATAGTCATATAGCTGAAAACAGCCAAGAAACAAAATTGAACCCCACCAAAGAAGGGGACAACGAAAGGGCTTTCTTGCCACCAAATGGGCAACCCTATTAGACTCCCGACCCACAAAAATAACCCGAAACTCCTGGAACAAGTCACGCATACTCCGAATCTCCTCCAACAGCATCCCTCCATGGACATCATCTACCTCACCATCCCGGATCTTCCCCACGATCACTTGGGCGTCACCTGCAAAAATCATCGACTGGAATCCAAACGCCAAGCACCAACGAAGCGCATCCCGGAAGGCCAGTAGTTCAATAAGAGCCGGCTCCCAAATCCCCACATACAGTGCTGCCGATGCTGCCACCACCATGCCCGTGGGATCCTGAAGAGCCCAACCTCCCGCTCCATGTGAACCAGGCGTCGTGGCTCCATCCACGAACATGACGAACTCTCCCAACGGAACATCCTGACGGCCTCTGGCACCTGAGACCCCTGAGTAACGACTAACACCTCGGCCGGTAAGTATGCCATCCCACTCTGCAACCTGCAAACGAAATTGAGATAACAACAACAGCACAATGTACTGAGTCAACTCAAAGACCACCCAATTACGGGCCTTCCAAATGCGCAAGAAAAGGGCCACAATATGCATCATGACCCCCTGATCAAGCTCCCGCCACTCGAGTAACCTGCGCCAAAAGATCCCAACATTGCAAAGGGGGAAGCGATCGCGAATGGCCAGAAGCTCCGCCCCTTCCCACAACTCCACCGCTACTCGACAGCGGAACCGTCTCATTGCTATCCCTAGCTCTCACAATCTTTCAAAGAATTCGAAAAAAACTAAAGAATCAAACTAATATAGCACAAAATCCGCAAGATAGCTAAAATTCAACCATTGGTGCCTCTTTTCATCATTTTCATTGGGTATTTTCTTGATGCTTAATTTTTCTCTTTTTCTTACTCTGTGAAGTCAAAATGTGATGTGAGTGCAGTAAAATAATGAAGAAGAAGAAGGGATTTTATTTTATACATGGAGCCGTATTGCAATTTGGAGGAGCAAGAAGAGATGGTGGGAAGTGGAACCCCACAGAACCTTATCTTAGGTTATCCTCCCACAGACAAGACTCCTCCCCACTATTGGAGGCCAAGGCCATCCTCATCAAACCAATAAATCAATGGAGAGGAAAAAAAACAATGTTTAAAATTATCAACAAAAAAAAACCCCTCCATCACAAGTAAACTAACATATCTTCTCCTTGTATAGGCCTTCAGAATAATGGTCATATTGCCCTACACAACCCTAGTGCTAATGGAGAATGGTCCAACAAAATAAATATTTTAGACTATTAAGTCTCTTTCCATATATTAGATGACAGTCATTTTGAAACTTATCATTTGTATGATTTTGAAATGTGTCCATGATGTAGCTTTGTTTATCTTTTGATGGAGATGGAGTGAATTTTTAGAGGTTTAGCCATCCAAGGACTGGAAACCTGAAGCTTTTGCCTGGTTTGGTTGGGTCTAATGTATATATAAGGTAGATGCGGCCTTCCTGAGTTACAAGTTGCAAGGTGCAAGCGACTTCGGCAACTTCCATCACACCTGGCAGGCTGGCACATCGAAACTCAACAATTAGCATAAAATATGTGTGTCGTGGAATTTCAAGTTGTGTGTGATGTCGTCAATAACTAAGCCCGCCTTAATTGACATCTCGAGTTATGCAACATGATCGTAATAGGATAGAGGATCTCTCAAATATTTGCAAGCCAGTGACTCAGTAAGGACTCAGGAACATTTACATAACAAAAGCATGCGAAAATAAAATTTTACCGCTAAGTGGATGGAGAATAACAGTAAATCATTCAGATTTTAGCACAAATGAGCGTAATGATTTTATTTGTTTTACATAGACGAATACCGAGAAAAACTAAAAAAAATTGACAAGTAATCCAAACACACAAACAAATACTTGTCAAATCTTCTATAATGTAGCGTGTAATCGTAAAATCATAAATTTTCTATCAAGATATCTCTATAAAATAAGTATCATCAAAACCACTCAACAAATCTTCCTTGTTCATAGAAATAGTTTAACAAATCCTTAAGCGCCACAAACTTCACGGGGATTAAGGCCAACCATCCTATGTGTAATTTGGAATTGATGATGGTATTAGAATCAACAAAAGTTGACCACAAGCCACAAAGTAAAAAGTTCAAACTGTAAAAAAAAAAATCAAAAGTATTGCCGACAAGAAGGGAGTTTAATTGGGTTGGCACTTGGCATCTTATTTTTTAATTAAAAAAAAACTCCAGTGAATGTGATTGGGGGAAAAAAGAGAAAGCTTAGCTGTCCTTAATCACTTACTTACTCACACTAATGAGAAGAGACTTGACATTATTTTATGAGTTTTTGATTAGGTACAAAGATAAGGCAATAACTTAATGAGCCATTATGAGTAAAGATCACTTTTGGGGTTTAAATTAATTAATCAATTAGTGGGTTTTATTATTATATTATTATTGTTAACGCCAAATGGGGGGTACCTGAAAAATATATTTATAATTCCAAGTTGATGGGACAAGAAATCAGGTTGACCTGATTCATCTGACTTCAAACTTCACACAGAGGATTGGAGATAAATCAAGGGAAACCTTAGGATTTAATTATAAATAAATAATAATAAATCCTTTCCTCTCTCTCTCTCTCCCAGTCACAGCACCTCACCATGTGCGGATGTTTTGCCCACAACCTATATTATTCCCTGCTAAGTAAAAATCTAAGGCCCATATAACCAAAAGTCACCACAGTTACTTTTTTTATAGTAATTAAATATTATTAAAAGGACTTATGATAGTTTAATAGTTAAACACCCAATTACTTGTTTGAAACCTACTTTACTAAAAACTCTAACTTGAAGATGTTCTCTCAAAAGCTACATTAGAGTCAAACTAGTCCATTGCGATCGCAATCGGCATGAATTGGGCAAATATCTACATTATTGATTTTGTTTAATTTTGACAACATTAGTTGCTATACAAATGACATTTTCTCGCTCTATTATGTTAATATATACTATTGGATTTAAATGCAAGTCTTTATTTAATTGGTTGTTGAGATTTGATCAACATTAGCATCTCTTTATAATGGTTGATTAACATATATTTTGTTCGCCGTTCAATTAATTAGTAGGTTCTTTTTAAAAAAAGGGAAGTAAGTTTGTCCTCAATATTATTATGATAACAATCCACAAGTTATAAATAAGATTAGGGAAAAGGAGGATTGTGAACAAATATTCTTAGTGGTTAAAGCTAAACAAACTTCTTCATTATCTTCTTCATACTTTGTTACATAAATGCGAAGGTGCAACAAAAGAGAAGTACTATAGAACACCATATTGGGGCCCCCAATAGAAAAATGAAAAACCCATCCATTTCTCACGCCACAAAATTACTTATTGATCACTCTTTTCATCAAATGTCATTTCCTCTTAGGCTTCGTTGAAATTGCTTTTCTAAACTCTTCTAAAACATACAACATGATTGGTTTTGTATCGACTTATGATTATAATTCTCCCTATCACAGAGCATGTCACAATCTTACCGTGAGCAACTCGATCAAGGAGCAAATCATCAAGCCATCAACAACAAAGAGAGGCAAAGGAGATTAAGATGGAATCAGTTATATTCGAATATAAAGGGTGAGTCCCAATGAGCATGAGAGCCTAGGACAATTTCGTCATTGCAACCAAACACTAAGCTAACCAGCTAAATTAGTATAAGTGAGGTCCTTATCCATAATTTTTTGCATAATCACTATGAAAACGGGTAATGGAACACTACTGGAATAAGGGAATCAACATAAAATACTTCATGATTCATGATTTATGCAAAGTTATATTTTGATTTCAAGAGTCAAATTGCTTCGGTTCCCTCCTCCCTCTCCCAAACGTTATAATTAGGAAAAATGTATCATCTTGAGACATTGTGCTACAAAATGCTTCATATTAGGTAATCTAAACGACCGATAGATATTCATCGCATACACATAGACCTTTCAGCCTATTTTCGATTTTAATCCCTAATATCATGAACGCTGAACATTGTTCATGTTTTATCACGGAAGCAACAATACAACCCATTTCTTAGGCAATAAAGGACATCAAGCCACCATAGATATTCATTCTTTCTATTGTAATAATTCGAGTTTTCAGTCTGAATAAAAAATAGCGTTATTAAATATCTTGATCTTGTTTAATTAGTATCATGTGTTGGTGCCTCTTACTTATATCTTTCTACCACAATTATTAGTATTGGACCATTTTTCAATTTAAAACAGAAAGATAAAAATACGGATAATCAAAAGCACAAATGCTCATTTATTTTCAATCTTTTTTTAGTACCAAAATGCTCATTTATTTGCTTCATCCAGAAAGGAAAAAAGAAAAAGGAGAAGGAAAAAAATGGTTGCCAGCCAGCCAGCTCACAAATCACAATGCCGAAAAAACATATAAAGGGAACAGATTTACCCTCTACTAATTGCCAGTTGTATTGGGATAATTATCTCTCAAGTTTGTGATCACGGATAAGCTAACAAGACAGCCTTTAAATCCCTTAATTATCATTAGTTTTACATAATAATTATTATGTACTCCTATATTATACGATTTATTTACGGAGATCGGAATTTAGATTCGCTGCTTCGATTGTCCTCGATTGTGAACTATTTGTTTAATTAATTTATTTAATATACATTATGCTTTTTTTCGAGGGTAATTACAGGATGAAATTAATTAATTTCTGTTCTCCAGAAGAATAATAAGAAGAAGGGGAAAAAAACAACCTTAGGAGTGGGGTTAGCCAATCAAGAAATGAGAGAGATAATGATAAAGTGACAGGAAGGGTGACGGAAACAAGCAAAGCGAGGCGCGCCACGTAGCGAGTGGAAACACGCACCACAATGCACACCACGTGGTAAGAGCACTCCTCCACGCGCTCCCACTCTCTCTCTATATATATAAGAGAAAAATAAAAACGTCTCCTCTCACCGGACGGACTCTGTTTTCTTCTGCTTTTCTTTCTCAACCGTTCCTTTTCCTCTCCCAATCGCCTCACTTGCCTTCTTCCAATTCTCTTCTTCTTCTTCTTGGATTTTTTCCCCCTCTTTATATTTACACCTGTACGGTGGCCCTCGATTTCGTTTCTACCCGTCCAAAATCCGCCGGCGACTCTGCTTTCCTTGGCGAGATATGGCTGGTACGGCGGGGGAGATCATGCTGTTCGGAGTCAGAGTGGTGGTTGATTCGATGAGGAAGAGCGTCAGTCTCAACAATCTCTCGCAGTACGAGCAGCCTTCTGCTCTTGTTCAGGCGAATGACGGCGGCGTCGGAGTCGACAACAAGGAAGGGGAGAAGGATACTCATAACGATATCAAGGAAGACGCCGTCGTCGCTGCTGGTTACGGCTCCGCCGACGACGCCGTTCATCACTCCTCTTCTGTTTCTCGCTCCGAGCGCAAGCGAGGTATTATGTTCCTTCTTCCTCCCGAGAGTTTTTCTCTCTGTTCGAATCGAGCGAGCTGATTCAATTTCTCCGAGTTTCGAAATTTCGAAATTCTCTGGTGAATCAATGGATTGAAAGAGTGTTGAGATGAGGTTTTCTGGTTCGGAGTATTGTTTGCTGATAGAAATTCGATTTTTGATTTTGATTTTTTTCGTAGGGGTGCCGTGGACAGAGGAGGAGCACAAGCTGTTCCTGATTGGATTGCAGAAGGTAGGGAAGGGTGATTGGAGAGGAATCTCTCGCAATTTCGTCAAGACAAGGACTCCTACTCAGGTAGCCAGTCACGCTCAGAAGTACTTCCTCCGGCGACTCAACATCAATCGCCGCCGCCGCAGATCTAGCCTCTTTGACATCACTACTGATACGGTAAACCATACATACTATATTCGTCGAACCTTATTCAGCCATTACTTTTCTTTTGTTTTATGTCCGATCCGGTGAACTGTAGTAGCTTTACTCTCTGGGAGACGACAAACACTAATGAGAATAGAATCGAAAGAAGAATTTAGTTATCAGAATAATGTCGACGAAGGCGACTTGGTGTGGTTCAGGGCCAAAGTTCTTAGGCTTTGATTTTTCATGATTGCCATAAAAGTAGACGTGTAAAATTAGATCCATATCTCTATTCCATCTGCGTTTGCTGACAAAAATTGAATGGAAGAAAACCCACCATCCCCCCATTAGATAGACGTGCAGAATTAATGCTTCTTGTTGGTGTGCTTGGCGATAAGATGTTGATGTTTGATGCTTATACAGCCAGAAAAGAAAGATCTTTCTTTCCCTTGTCTCGTAGTTGTAGACTATCTATCTAGAGACTGACCCATCTTTCCTTTCTGTTTCTTGGTCATGTGGGGAATTTAATTAGGTCGCTGGGATTTCCATGGGAGGAGAAGAGCAACAGCAAGAGAATAAGAAGAAGAGGACCACCACCACCACCACCACCAGCCATAGCAGCAACTTCCCAGTGATGTCAAATTTCACCATATCCACCACCAATTCAACAGCCGTACTGAATACCACCCAGATCCCTGTGGTGGATAACTTATCATTAGGAGGAGGACAAGGCAACCATCAATGCATTCCTGCTACAAACCTTATCCGCCCTCCTGCCCTTGTCCATCAATCATCCCTCTCAAGGACGATATCTGATGTCGACTTGAATCTAAACTCGTCTCCGGCTGCTGCTGCTGCTGATCCATTGCCATTGTCACTGAATCTCTCACTGCATTCCAACGAGACGACGACGGCCAGGCACCCTGGGTTCCAGATGATGTCTAGCCTGAGCGGGGACAGCAGCATCAGCGTAGCTTGATTATGGTGGAGGGGTAAAAGGGCTTACTGCTAACACCGGAGCAAGTTGCTGGTTAATTAAGGGCTAAACAGCATAAAATTAGGTAAGGTTGATGGTGGGAGGGGAGATTCAGAGAGAAGTTTGAGGGGGGATGTTTGGCTGTGGTTATGACTGTTAAGGTAAAATGGATCTTAATTGTGACTGGTGGTGAAGAAGAACAACTCTCAAATCTTTTGTTCAATTATAATGTACAGACCTGAAGGTGGAAGGAGGGGAAATGGGATTGGGTTGATGATGCTGTTTTCTTTTGTTTAATTCCTAATTTAGTTTGGTTCTGTTTGTTGCAACAAAATTGACAACCCTCTCTGCTTCCCCCACCTTGTTAGATTCCTTTTGGCTTATTTTGTTTTTGTGTGTTTGTTGTGTAGTTTAGATCGTGATGTAGCTTTTGAGCAGTGACAGGCAGGCTTGAATTAAAAGTAAGACATAATTTAGGGTTGATATATGTACGTATTAATACTAATAAGAAAGGATTAGGAAAATGGGTTGTATTTTAAGAAAATGGTTATGGGTGTGGAGGTGAATTGAATGGGGACTATGGCAGGGAAGGTTAAGGACAGATGGTCCCAACTGGATGAAGATAAGGGATAGGATTAGGATATAATTGTTGTGTTTGTGTATCAGGTGGTGCTGTGGGTTATTAATATGCTTAGTGCTGACTTCGCTCTAGGGCGGGCTGGCTGGCTGGCTGGCTGCTGCCAACAATAAAATAAAGGTGGTGTAGTGTTTTTTAATTGACTTTTGGGGTTACTGAAGGGGAGCAGATCGGATGAGTAATTTTGTGGTGAGTAACCATGAGTAACCCGTCCACATCAGCATGACATCAGCATTCTCTCTCCTGGAAAGCCTTTAATTTTCCCCTCTTTAATTTTTGAAGGACGATTTCTCACTCATTTTAAGTCGAAATTTAATTTTTTTTTGCACAGTTAGATCAAATTAATTGTGCTCTTCAAAATGATATCCACTTTAATATATTTTTCGGATAAAAAAAATTGAGCCATTTTTTACCAGTCTATACCATATGGTATTGACTGGTATTGAAATAAAAGCATACCTATGGTTTGAAAAAAGTATCATGGTGGTATGAACAAACCAAGACTGTAGGATGCTTGAATACATGATAGTAGAAATATATTAATTGTCATTTACGACTTTTAATATTGTATACCACAAGATACCACCCCGTACCAGGGTGATATTGTATGGTATTGTGTGGTATTTTTTGGTCATGTAATTTGTTCATCCATAAATTTGTAGATCCAATAGATCATAATGAACTCGTCCCTTCTGCGCAAACGTTTTCAAAAACGAATTAAAAACGAAGAAGATACCATACAATACCACTCCGTACCAGAGTGGTATTGTATGGTATTGTGTGGTATTTTTTGGTCCTGTAATTTGTTCACCCAGAAATTTGTAGATCCAATAGATCATGATGAACTCGTCCCTTCTGTGCAAACGTTTTCAAAAACGAATTAAAAATGAAGAAAATACCATATGGTATGCAGTTGGTACTGAGAGAGCAAAATTTTTTGTTCTAAAAAAATATTGAAAATTGATCTCATTTTGTAGAGCACGATGAACTCGTTCCACCTGTGCAAAAAAAATTAAAATCCGAGTTAAAACGAAAAAGATATGAGCCGATTAAGAAAGCTTAAGAAAATAAAAATGATCTTTAATTCTCCATCCTTAGATCTGAATTTTCTAAATGAATGGTTCAGATTTGGTTATTGATGGATGCATAACCCATGGTTATGCATCCTATCTTGAGCCTTATTGAAGGGGCCTTATGCATAATTTTTTCTTTTATATTTGGAAATCCTTAATCTGCTAGTTTTGTCATTGTGTGGCCAGGTTGGGTTGGTCAACCTTCCTCTCTCATTTTCTGGGCACAATTAGTGAAATGCTGATTGCTGAAAGCCTGGAATAGTCGGAGATGGCTCAAGATAGGGTGCATAACCATGGGTTATGCATCCATCAATAACCAAATCTGGACCCTTTATTTAGAAAATCCAGATCTAAGGATGGAAAATTAAGGACCATTTTTATGTTTCCTAGCTTTCTTAATCGGCTCATATCTTTTACGTTTTAACTCGGATTTTAATTTTTTTTGCACATATGGAACGAGTTCATCGTGCTCTACCAAATGAGAATAATTTTCAATATTTTTTTAGAAAAAAAAAATTCTGGCCTCTCGGTACCAACTGCATACCATATGGTATCTTCTTCGTTTTTAATTCGTTTTTGAAAAAGTTTGCACAGAAGGGACGAGTTCATCATGATCTATTGGATCTACAAATTTCTGGGTGAACAAATTACAGGACCAAAAAATACCACACAATACCATACAATACCACCCTGGTACGGGGTGGTATTGTATGGTATCTTCTTCGTTTTTAATTCGTTTTTGAAAACGTTTGCACAGAAAGGACGAGTTCATCATGATCTATTGGATCTACAAATTTCTGAGTGAACAAATTACAGGACCAAAAAATACCACACAATACCATACAATACCACCCTGGTACGGGGTGGTATTGTATGGTATACAATGTTAAAAGTCGTAAATGACAATTAATATACTTCTACTATCATGCATTCAACCATCCTACAGTCTTGGTTTGTTCATACCACCATGATATGTTTTTCAAACCACATGTATGCTTTTATTTCAATACCAGTCAATACCATATGGTATAGACTGGTAAAAAATGGCTCAATTTTATTTGTTCGAAAAATATATTAAAGTGGATATTATTTTGAAGAGCAGAATTAATCTGATCTAACTGTGCAAAAAAAATTAAATTTCGACTTAAAATGAGTGAGAAATCGTCCGTCAAAGATTAAAGAGGGGAAAATTAAAGGCTTTCCAGGAGAGAGAGGATGCTGATGTGGGCTGGTTACTCATGGTTACTCACCATAAGGTTACTGACCTGATCCGTTCCCGTCGGGGATAGTAATTTCCGGAAAGGATAGTTGCTGAATAAGTAACCATCCCATGGCTATCAAACCGACCCGTTGGCCCGGTCGACCAACCGGATTGAGGGGTAAGAGTCTGATTTTGTCTGGATATTTGAAAAAAGTCATTGTATGATTAATACTTTTATAAATTATATCAAATTTCATCTAACATATGAGTAATAAAATAGAACTCCAACATATAGTGGAAATTCAAACACATTCATATAACATCATTCCAATGTTCGACTTAGAATTCCAACGGTAAGGTTAGACGAAAGGAAACACATGAAGAAAAACGCCATCCACAAATTAAAGGGAAAACTAGGTTGTGTGACTTTTAACTCGATAACCTACTTGCGGGTCTACCGGTGAGTGTGTGGTGCTTGTTTTTTTTTTTCATTGCGTCCGGGCAGTGGCGGACCCAGGAATTTGTCATAGGAGTGTCCTCTTTTAAAAAATAAATTAAATAAAAATAATTAATAAAAATAAAATTGTAAATATAAATATAAAAATACCTTACTCGTACAGGTTAAAAAATTCATGATGTGTTTTCATATTCGAAAATAATTGTAGAATATACTTGGTGTCTATAGTGTTAAAAAATTTGTCTCTATATACACTACTAGACAATCATTCACGAACTTATCGCATATTCGATTTGTATACTTGTTCTTGATGTAACCCAAAGCTGAAAGACTCTTTCAACACTTGTCGTACAATCATAAAATCAATACAAATTAAGGGTAGTTTGAAATTAGTTTAATTGTTAGGTTTTTAAAATAATTAGAGACAGGGAATGTCATTTTACTATTATACATTGTTCAAAATCGAACAACAAATAAGTTTAGCTCAACAGAAATTAAGTTTATTAATAATAATAGTGTTCTAGATTTGAATTATCCAACCTACCACTTATATTCCTATACACAAATGACAGTAGGATAATCATTTTTCACATTTAAGGGGTGTCCCTCACTATCAATTATATTTTTTTTGTTCATACGTAAATTACCACCGGGGGTTGGATAATCGTTTTCCCAAAATATAGGGGTGTCCGGGGACACCCCTAAATCCCCTTGGGTCCGCCCCTGCGTCCGGGTTTCCGAATCAACTTACATATCGACACGCGGGTTGACAACCTTGAACCATCCTCAAAAACCACAACCCGTATATTATTATCATCATTTATATTTTCGCAAAACAGAAGATTACCTTTGATCATTGACATCGCTACGTATTTAAACTGAAGTACACGTTGATGGCAAAGTCAATCATTCCTTGTTAGTTGGCTTAAATTAGTGTTCTGGTTAAACTTCGATCTTGTTTAGAGGTGACAATTGGATTGGATTGATAGATTGGTGATTGAATTGGTGTATCTATAGATCAAGTGGATTAGATCAAATGGATTGGTAGATTCATGGATTGGATCAAGTGAATTGGTGGATTGATCCATTAATCCAAATGGCATCCAAATCTTGGACCATTATATAAAATTTGAAAAGTATATGTACTAAAATGTCATAATAAAAAATTTTAAGTACCAAAACGTAATTTCCCAATGATATTTTTGCATAAAAAATAAAATTGAAGGTACCAAAATGTAAAATATGAAAAATATAGGTACTAAAATGTAATTTATTATTTGGATCCATGGATCAATCCATAAATTCACCAATCCGATTGGATTTAAATAAAATGGATTGAATTTAAATGAATTGGATTATATAGATATTTAAGTGGATGGATTGAATTGGATTGATGGATTGAATTACAAATTGGCACCTCTAATCTTATTTAGTAGGATCACAACACTCTCACGAGACCGCGGGTTCGATAGACCATACCTAGTTTCGTTGATCAGTTGACCTTCGTCAAACGGGTATAAACACCCACCAGTGTGAAATGCTAATCTCAATCACCTTCGATTGTGGTAATCTTGTAATAAGGAGGTGAAATATTTTTTTATATTATTCTTCTTTGTGAATTAATGAAGAAACCGGTATCTCAACTTTGAATATTTCCCAACCAAGGTTCCCAACAAATACTCTTCCCTAAACATGTTCCTTGACCTCATTTTCCACCCCTAACCATTGTCCTCTATTTTAGTTTGTTGTTACTCCACTATTAAAGTGGATGCGAAACCCGCTTTTGCGTGGAATTTTTTTTCTAATCGAGTCCTTAAACTTCAATTTGTTTCCTCAACATACTCCTTGGCTTTGATTTTGTAACTCTCTTCAACTATGTTATCGACATGATTCGTAATGATTTAGAAACGTTTCGTTTAAGCAACATTTAGTATCAAAATCATACGTATGGATTTCTTTGCTGACGTGAAGCTTGGAAATTCAGTTACTTAATTATATAATTGAACGGGATGGATAGTATTATCATTTTAAATCTATGTTGAAGTGAACTGAAAATAGGCTAATGGAGACTTGGTTAGAAAAAAATGAAGCCGAGGGACTTGTTTTAGAACAAAAAATCTTTACTTGAGGTGTACTTATTCAAGAAGAAAGTTTTAGTAGAAGGGAGGGGTATTTTCATCATTTGAAATCCAATTTAACAATGAAGTAACACCAAACTAACGGGAATGACTTGTTTATGAAAATTTTGAAATTAAGAGGATATATTTAGAGAGAAAATTGTTGGAGATCTTGATTGTAAAATACTTGGTATAATTGAGATCAGTCTGTTTTTGTTGTATATAAAATGCCATGATGGTTGAATACTTGGATTCATAAAAGAGGGAACTGTAGCGTTGGTTGGGAGTGTAGGATTTTCAGGTGGGGAATCATGATCACAAATCCACCAATTAACACATTGTTAACAAATCTTCTATTTGTTTATAGAAAGGTATGGTTTGCAAGGCACATATTACTTGTTTTTTTTTTCCAACTTTAAATCCTATAATAATTCCTGTACCACTGCATTATGAAACTCGATTAGTTTTGAATGAAGAACAAAGCAAGATGTTATAGCTCTAAGTCATTACGTTTCACGGGTGTATGTATTAACTTATGAAATTATCGTTGTTGCTACCAGCAATCAGTATAAGTTTTGAAAGATCATTTGTCATAATGAAACATGTGAATAACGCACTTCGAAATTGAATGAACAATGATTTTTTTCATGGATACACTGAGGTGATACCCTTTAGAGTTTGGATGAGAATGTAGTTTACTATTTTAGACATTCTTAGAATACGAAAATAGGTCATATTGTAAAAAAGTTATCACGTTTACTTATATATATTTTTTTTACAACAAGCTCATTTAAACGAAATCTCGACAACGCCACTATTTAAGCTAACCGTAATCGACACGCATGCAAAAAGAACATACATGAGCACATTACAAACAACTAAAGAGACAAATTAAGAAAAAACAACTTATCACTATCCACCTATATGAAAGTAAAAAAGTGTCACAAACCTCCTCCAACAGTCACATTTCACGTTACACCCAAATATTCTAGCAAAGGCAAAAGTTCAAAACAACCAATGCGGAAGCTTCTGCTGCTCGATCTTCTTCTCCTTAATCGTATCCAGAGTAGGCTTCCACCCTTTACCGGACAATTGCCGGCTCAAATACTCCGGCACCTTGTTCTCTTCATCCTCCTCCTCGTCATCCTCCTCCTCGAAAAACGACGCGAGACGCTTACAATCCGTCATCTTCACAACCTTCATCACTTGCTCGTCACAACTCGTTTCCTTCTTCACCAACTTGACGAAGTTCCCCTCGCGGTGTCCTCCAATGGAGCCAGCCGTACACGCCCGTGCAAACAGAGGCACGAACTTGTACGGCGACGAAGACGACTGCTGCTTCAGAAGCGCGCTCGCGTTGAGAAGGACGCGGCGCGCTTCCTCTGAAGCCAGAGAAAGTGGCTTCCCCCGCTTCAGGGGAAGCATCATGTACACCCTGTGCGCTTCCAGCTTCTTATCAGCTGGAAGCGGAACAGGGCGATGCCTGTGGCTTCTCATCATCTGGGAGTCGAATTCGACCACCACCTCACGTGGGTGGTCCAGCATCAGCTCGGCCACGGTCGACGAGTCGTCAGACTCGTGGACCGTGCCGTCCGAAAGGACCACTTTCACGACAGCCGGAGCAGCGGCGGCCGCAGCCGTGTGAGAAGCGGAGAAAGGGAAGGAGAAGGAGACGCGCAATTGCTTCATTTCATTAGAGCTTATCCGATCCGACTGAATGAGTCTTTGAGAGGGGCGAATTTATATATGAAGTGTAGGAAGAAGTTTGTTAAGCGGTTCCACATCTGTAACCGGCAAATGTGCAATATTATTTTTTTAATATGGGATTGGAACTGAAAAAATTGACAATTTGGTGGATGTGGTGAAATAACTAATCGGCATTAGTTTAGTTTGTTGGCTGTTCTTTCCTAACTAAAGCATATGCAATGGCCGCCTAACTGGGCCATGGCTTTTGACTAAGTTGACATCACTGTTTCAATGCCCAAGTAAATTAAGTCCTGTTTGTTTAACTAACTTAATTCTTCAACCCCGATCCACCCCGTTATCGAAGCAAGAGAATAGCTCAATATATTAATTCGTTTTTCAAAAAATTACGAGTCATATTGGGTAATATTTATGTGGTATGAACTTATACTATTACATGTTATTTTGCAAAAGAAAAAAAAACATTCTTTTTTTATGAAAAAGGGAAAACGCTTCATAAATTAAAAAATGAGTAAGTAGTTTGATTGAATTAGAAGTAGGGGTGACTATACGGTCCGGTCCGGTTAAATAGGACCAAATTGATTCGGTCCCAGTCCGGTCTTTTCGGGAATAGAAGGACCAAAGATTGGATTGGATACAGTCCGGTCTTGACCCGGTCCGGTCCCAATTTTATCTTGATTTTAGGTGTTGGGGGTCTCTTATCCGGTTTTTTTATCTCAAATCTAAGCCCGAATATGAAATTGCTTTGTTTGCTATCCGGTCCGGGTCCAGATTATACGGTTCGGTTTTGGGTAAAACCAAACAGTCCGGGACCAAATAGCCAGCCCTAATGAGAAGGGGATCACTTCTATCATCTCATTCTATCACTATGCCCAGGATCTGACCTTCTCGCTTCCTCTCCCTCATGAATGAACCTTTTTTCTGCCATGTGTGCATTGCATCCTTCTCTCATTCGTCAAATCGAGCTTTTTGTTTGTTCCAAGTATCTTTCTATGTGACACAAATTTTAGAATTTGGATGATTTTTTCCTTTCACATGTTATACTAACCCCTCCTCAATCCATCTCAGCATGGACAACAGTGGTTCATCAATCAAATAATTATGTTTAACAATATATGAAAACGGTAAATATAATGGAGATCAAGTATTGTAACATTAATGTTGATATGGCCGAGTTGGTCTAAGGCGCCAGATTAAGGTTCTGGTCCGAAAGGGCGTGGGTTCAAATCCCACTGTCAACATATTGAAGTTTTTTTTTATTCTATTGCATAATTAGAGTTCATTTTAGAGCCTAAAATCACATTACTATATCTTTATTCTTTCCTACAAGCCTTCTGAAAATCCAGACTCCAAAACCTCATGGTGAATGATGAGAGATAATTGAAAGCCCGCTTTGTCATTTTTTTGAGATGCTGCAACTGCAATCTGCAGCACAGCCATATCCTGCAAAATTTGATGAGCTATAGCATTGACCTTTGGAACGTGTAATGAGATAAAAGGATAAAGGATCAATAATGGGATGTCCATCCCTTCTTATCATATCATTTGTGATTGAGACTTGAGATTGATGTTTCAGATTGGCCTCTCTTTCCCATATGTTAAATATGCATATAGAAAAGAAAGCATAATGATAAACCAGAAAATCGAAATAAGTCCATATCTCGTACTCGGAGTACTGAAACCTGAAAATAACCCTTCTACTGTTCTTCTTATATATAGGTAGCTGCTGCAAACGAGAAGGCTAGAAACCTGAAACACGCATATCACCCAGAATCCACTTCTCACGACCTTATAGTTGTTGATGGGGGAGGAGGCAGAATCAATGGAGTGAGTTTCGACGCGTCATTTCGGTTCTTCTCGTGCACCTTCCTTATGTAGTCGGAAGCTCTCCCATCTATAACGCTGCCCTTGCCCTCTTCGTGAACCACGAATGAAGCAGTAGTGCCAACAGCACCCTTCTCTCGGCCTGCTGGCTCCATGAGATACGAGTTCGGCTTTGACCATGGTTCCTGTGACCTTCGGCTCCCTGCTGGTGTCTGAGGAGGCAGCAACGGTTCCTTGGTACCCATCACGGATTCTGTGATGGGTGCAAGGTTCCGGTTGACGACTGGAGAGCTAGTTGTCGTTCCAAGAGACATCTTAGCAATAGAGAGCGAAGACAGCCTCATGATATTCATCACTACCTTCATCGACTTCTCGCACAAGGAGTTGCTGCCGCTCTTGCCAGTGCTGCCCATTTCTCTCTACAACAAAGGAAGATGAGTTGGGGGTTAGAAAACCTGATGAGTATGTTTATATAGCAGTAGCACCTGTCAAAACTTGATTCTGAAGTATGCATGTGGCAAAAATAATAACATATCAGCTTTAGTTTTTTCAAGATTCTCCAAACTTGGTGGATTCCTTCCTTGTTCTGAGAGGTAATGAGTGGGACCAATAAGAGTATCCAGACAGGGGCCAAGCCGAAACTTAACAACGAGACAAATGAAGAATATGTGCTGCCTATACATGTAGCTGATCACAAACTCTATTTAAATCATCACTGTTCAATTTGTCCATTCACCAGCAAGCTACAGCCCAGTAACAGTAGATTTCACTGTAAGATTAGATCCAGCAATTCATAGTGTTGCTTAAATGAAGGCTTCGTAAGTAGGCTAAACATGTGCCACCTAATCTAAGTGCAGTTAGCAGAGGGTATTTAGTATTCAAGCAGAGCATCAAATCGTGTTTGCTTGCCTTGAAATCAAGGGAGGAACAAGATTCCTTTACCACTGCTAACTTTTCTACTTTCTAAGAGCTTCTCTTTATTTTCCCTTTATCTTTTTCCCGTTGTATCAACTCCATGTTAAAGTTCTGGATAGAATTCTCTATCACACAGAAAGCCATTCATAGGCCACATTTAGTACTTTTCTCTAGTTTGGATAAATGCTTCTAAATAATAATAAAAACTCCATAGGAACACTGAATCATGCTTTATGCACTCTAGCTTATTAGGGAAAACAAAGTGAATAGTATCTCTGACTAAACAAAGAAAGCATCCATGTTGAGAACCATTGCCTACCTTATAGTGATGGCCACACAATGAAGATAAGGGAGATGAAAAGAGGGGAGCATAAACTTCTCAATGATAGTGCCTTAATCTCAATTCTCAACTGGTTTGGTTATTAGGATATTGTTCATTTAGCAAAGAATTTATTGTTGCATAGCATCCAAACTTCATATAATTCACTTATGTTCTTTACACCCAACCTCTCGAGAAAGTTCCAACAAATTTCAATCCTTTCAAACACCACAAATCCTCACAGTTTCAAGTGTCCAACAAAAATGGCTCTAGCTACACAAATCTATATCAAACTTCTATCAAAGTCTAGCCCACAAGACTTAACACCAAAAAGATATGAGCAAGCGCCTTTGACAGCTCTGGGCACAAGGTACAACCTATGGTAAGCAAATCGTATTTATTTGGGGGGTACTATAGGTTTTCTGTCATGCCAACTAGGGTTTTTCCCCCCAAATAACTTGCGATATGAGTAGTTATTTTTGAAGCCTGGTTCTTCCTCACTTGAAGTGATCATGTTTTCTGGATATCTCTCATCTTTCAGGGTCAACAGAGAGTAAGGTGAAAGATGCTATTTATACACCTAACATCAAAGTAATTTACGCTACTCATACGTCTGCGAGGCTCTTAAATTTTTGGTCAGGCCAAACATATCAAGAACGTGACATGCAAATGTCATATTAGTTATAACAAAATAAAGTTACACTCACAGAGTCATTATGTGGTGATCAGGCTATGGAAGTACTTCTGCCTGGTACCCTCTTACTTCAAACTGATGAAAGCCAAGGGTTCGGTGCAACGTAAGTGTAGCCTTGGAAATGTTCCCCGGCAGTTGGGGTGGAAGCTGGTGAGTCATCTGGAGGCATGGTAGTCCAACACTTGTCGAAATTCGCTATGCAAGCTTTTCCACTCACATCGGGTTTGAACTTGGGCTGCAGCTCTCTCGCCTCCAACTTTTTCCAGTTGATCGACTGAAACCATTTGTGGTGTTTAATCTCATCCCCTCCCCTTGGTCCACTCCCTAGCCTTTTTGAAGGATCCTTTTGCAGCAACTGCAGAAAAAGCAAAAGACCATGCGTTCATAAATCCAGGAAAACTCTGATCCACAAGAGAGTAATTCTATTTTCAACACATACTTACCCCTTTGAGCAGAGAATGACCCTCAGTGCTTACAAAAGGTGGAAGCTTGAACTTCTCCTTAATGATCTTTTCCTGGAGCTTCTTCCTATTCTGGTGTGTGTATGGAGGCTGTAAAACAAAAGCACATGTGACCCAAAAGTCATTTCCATTTTCCAGAATCAACAGCCAAAGGCATATCTTCCTCTATGAAATGGTACAACGAACGCCGCATTACCTGTCCCGATAGCATTTCATACAAGAGGATTCCAGCACTCCACCAATCTGCATCTTTATTGTGGCCTTTAGACAGTAAAATTTCAGGAGCCATGTATTCGGTGGTTCCACACATCGAGTTTGACCGACTTGACTCGTCAATTTCCTTTGCAAGTCCAAAATCAGTCAGCATAACCTGCAATATCACAAACAATCCCATAAATGCGAAATCGAATGCTGATGAATAAGCAAGAAGAATTGAGATGACAAGGGGCAAATGCAAGTTTACATGTCCGTCAGAATCCATGAGAATGTTTTCAGGCTTAAGATCACGATGCACAATCCCGCAATCATGGAGATGTGAAACAGCAGACACAATCTCAGCAGCATAGAGCCTGGCTTGATCCTCGCTGCGCTCAACAAACACATCCACAGAGCAAAAAAGCTTAAGCAATCATTTCAAAACATGGGGATGCTAACTAGTAACTACACGACTAATTTCAACAGAAAGTTTACCTGAAGATCCTCTGACGATAGAGGTGGAAGAAGAGATGGCCTCCATTAATGAAATCCAGGATGAGATAAAGCTTGGTTTTGGTCTGGAAAGAGTAACGAAGCTGGACGATGAAAGGATGGACGACTTTGGTTAGAATATCCCTCTCTGCTCTCATGTAATCCACATGATTCTTCTTTATAATGCTGTCCTTCTTCATCACTTTCATAGCATAAATCCCATCGCTATCGCCATCACCATTGCTCTTCGCAGTCGTCTTCTTCTTCTTCTTCACCAGAAACACTTTCCCAAACGCTCCCTGCCCTACCATTCTCAGAATCTCAAAATCACTAGGCCCAATCCTCCCGCTGATGCTCCCATCCTCACAATTTCTTCCCTCCTCTTCTCCTTCTCCATTCCTCTCGAATTCGCCATCTCCGACGGCGGCAATTGGAGATTCAACTACGGCAGCGGCGGCGGGATCTTCGTCCTCGTCGTCGTCTTCTTCTTGGATTTTGTTGAAGGGGAGAGGGACGGAGAGGGTGTAGCGAGGGGAGGGCCCCACGAAGGAGTGGGACCGGTTGTGGATGACGAGCGGGTCCAACGCTGCTGCGGCGGCGCGTGCGGAAGAAGAAGAAGACGAGGAGGTTGAGGCGGAGGAAGAGGCGGTGTCTGGATCCGGATCCGGAAGAAGCGGGTCGAGGTGAGGTGTGGTGGGACCGAAAACTTCAGAGAAGTCGAAGTCGGAGGCGGAATCCGGCGGGTTAACGGTGAGCTTCTTGAGTTTGGTGGACAAGAGAGAATCTCTGAGATTCTTCTTTTGAGAAGGCGACACCATCTTCCTACTTTTTCCTCCTCCGCCTCGGTCCTGTGGATACTTGTACGGCGGAGCAGAGAGACGGGGAAATGGAGAGGAAAGCCGGAGAGGGATGGAATGGATGGCTCGTTCTGGTTAAGGAATAAGGAGAGGTTGCGGGTTCAGTTGCCACTTGCGAACATGGTTTGTCACTTGTCAAACCACTTGTATGTGGACTTGCACAATAAGATTCAACCACTATTGGAAAAAAAAATTGGTTGTTAAGCCAAAGATTGAAATACTGTATTGTAGGTTAGTACTGAAAAACTTAGCGATAAGGTATTTTATGTTAAAATCGTGGTTCAATCGATTTATACCACTAAGTATCGCCTATTGATCTAGTAAGAGGTTTTTCTTGTCGAACTGCTGGTACGGTACTGTATTTCAATCTTTGGTGTTAAGACTATTAGGAATGACAATTGTATTCACGATGGTGGATATTCGACTCAGTCAGTGAGGGGATTTTCCGCATTGACCCGGTGATGGAACAGGTATGTGTAATAAAATAATAAAAAGTGGTGGGAATAAAATTAGGTGTCTATGCTTCATACCCACAATCGCCTATATATAATTCATATACTATGAACACCCAATTACATGTCATTTGATCTCTCCATCTTTCATTTTGTACTAAAATATTTAAAAAAAACCTTCATTTCACTTTTTCAATTCCATCTAAATATATATATATATGGTGGCTACTTCGGTGCACTCACTTTTTTGGGTGCACTCAGTGCACCCAACTCTAAAAGCGTCCATAATACATCGATTTTGAACTTTAACTAGTACTCTCAATATAATATGATGATATGACATAGAATCATAACAAATCAATCCATTACCCTATCCCCTTAACCTTCAATTTTGAATCCCAACCCAAAATCCTTAATTGTAAACCTAAACCCTAACCCTAAATCCCTAATCCTAAATCCTTCGAATTAAAGTGAATTTGGAATGAATTTTTTTCAAATTTATGTGCTTCTTGTTCATAATATCATAAGCTACAATTGATACCGTTTTGATATGAATCGCATGCTCAGAATGATAATTATGAGGCGGGTGCACTGAGTGCACCCGAAAAAGTGGGTGCACCGAATACACCACCATATATATATATATGCCATCTTATTTCCCTAATTTCCCCTAAGAACTTAAGTTTAGCTTTGTTATGTTTCTCGTATTTTTGTAGCTCATTTATGATATACAATCTTTGTTCAACGTCCTACTTCTAAATCGTACGTGTCTTTCACTTAATTACATTAATTTTAAGTTGAATTTGGTTTGGATTTGCATGGATGGTATCATCCATGAGTATCCGAAAACTATTGGAATGGGGATGGGGATAAGAAACTTAAACCAATACGAAGATAGAGAGGGTATGGGTTTATGAATTGAAAATGGGGATGGATTTATAAAAACTACCCAAACCCGACCCATTGCCACTCTTAAATACTATTGGTGTGATGCGTTAGTCAAAACAAATAAAAAGGTCAAAATTGAAAAAAGAGTGCTCCAATCTAAATGATCAATTTTCGTTCGCTAAACGAAATGGTGTCGTTTTGATTGAATTAACTAACAAAATAAATTATTCAAATATGAATATTTTAATTTTGATGTTATTTATTAAATTTATGTAGAAACCTTTTCACGTTGACTTTAAATGTTGCATGTGAATATGATGAGTTATCATTTTGTTTGTAATGTACTATTTTATTTTTTTATTTAAATATGGATGTAGTTTATAGGTAAATTGCCTTAAACTATATTATATATATGCACTATTCATTTCGCGTTAATTAATTTCCACTTTCCTCGCGTGTTTTGTCAATACCGGCTTATAAACCGATTGCCAGTCGGATCATATTACTTGTGGAAGCAACGTAACGGTGTAAACCGATTTGACAACCTTGCTTAAGAGAGAAAAAGAACAGAAGAAAAGTTGTTGAGTGCTTCATGTGAATTCGATCGCAGCAGGAGAATCATGAGTAACTTGATTTGTTAGTTTGTCATTCAAATTCAATTTTGACCGATAACCGATTGTTTAATTACTAGTTCGAACCGACAAAGAATAATCGGTTAATGATTAAAACCGACTATTACCATAATGTTGGTACATAGAGAGTTAGCTAGATTTTGTGTATTGGTTGCAGCTAAATTGGAAAATGAATCGAGGGTATGGTCTATTGGCACAAGCATCTAGAAACAATAGAGCAATAAGGTTGCCCAATAAAACTCATCTTCTTTCTCCCTTCTCCCTCTTAGCATTGCACATTAAAATTAAAATTACAGCTCTATACCAAAGATTTTACTTTTACCCCCAAAAATTGAAACCAAAATGCGGTTCAAACCCCACGTTATTATCCGATCCCTACATATCAATTCTCATAGAACAAGATACAACAACCCAACCCAACCAAAATTCTCCTGAAAAAATTGGAGAATTAAATGATACACCCGATTTGACTTCCCCCTTTTGCCCCCTCTCACCGGTATGGAAACCTGACTAGAAACAATATCAAAACCAAAAATCCATCCTTCTTTCTCCTCTGCTCCCATGGCTACAACAGCCTATGATACACCCGGCACGAGACCACATTCATTTCAACGACAGTGGCCTTAGCACTCCTTGTACGATCTCCTGAACCATTCGGTTCCGCCTGCAAAGGTCTGACAGCTCTTCGACCGGTCCCATTAGCGTGTTGATGTCCACTCCTGAAGCAGCATCTGACAGCACTTGCAAGAATCTCGTGCTTTCGACTTCTGTGACTGCTGTCGATGGGATCAAGGCGACACTCTCCTTACCCCACTCCACCACGGCGGCCCCTGCTGCCCGAGCTAGTGATAGTAATGTGTATGTTACCTGTGCCGGGAAACCAGAAGAGAAGGAGAAGCTTTGGTGAGGTGGTGAACCTGGATAAAATTGTGGCCAAAGGATTCTGAGTTAGGAACATTACCGTTTCTAGTCGGGAACTCGGCAGTGCCCCGGTTAATGAAGCAATCAATATTCTGGTAATAGTGGGACCCCGTGGAGCGATAACGTTGTCCCTGATCGATAAGAACTGTTCTTCAAGGTTAGATTTCCGAAGGTCAAAGATGTCGGACAGGAAGGTCAGTATGGAGTTGGAGGCCTCTCTGAAAAACAGATTGATCTTTGTCAATATTCATTTGCAGCCGCGGCATATCGTGATCAACTCTTGCAGCTTATTATCCAAAGGCAGCAGAAAATCAGAGACTAGGTAAAAGAGACACATGAATGAGGCCTTTCCAGATAAGTACTCATGCATGCTCTATTCAACCTCAGAAGACTGAATCATATCTTAAATCCAACAGAATAATATTGTGTTCGCAAGAATAGTAGTTCTACCTATGCTGTACTGTCACACCGATCAGAGCACAATCGACTAATGAAGGGAATACTTCAGACGGAATGAATAGCTGAGGACAGTAACGCATGCACCTCGACGCCAGTAAGAAGCAATCATCTGCTATATCTGGCCGCAAGGTGAAGTCCTGCAGTATACATAGATGTTACTGAATCAATATATGTCAATCAGACAAGAATCACAAGGTAAGATAATAATATCATGATGATGACAAAATCGGACCTCTATATTCGTAAGAAGGCACTTCGTATGCGTGAAGAGCGCTTCAATCAAGCTTTTCAGGTATAATGCACAGGATGGATCAGAACCAAATATCTGTGCATCACACACATAGTACACCAGCTTAATTATGAGATCCAACATGGTAAAAGCTCGATTCAAGAAAGTGATACATACTTTTATGACTTCACTTGAAAGGTATAGGAAGCATGGTTGGTGGTGTTGCCTGTATAGGCGTTCAATCTCCTCTAGCATAACACCAATTGTGACTCCCATGAACCTGCCAGAAGTCCTTACCTGAAGAAGATAAATCAACATTGGGTTACGAATACGTGGTATACAAAGCAACACCAGCACAACCAGAACGAAAATTAAAGCTATTGTCCCAAAAACAAGACCAAATGGAATACTATTAGGTTGCTCACTACCACATTATTGTATAGAAACACGAGGCTGATTGCATCCGTGAAGTCCAAACATATACTAGTCAAAGACCTGATCGTGATGCTTAAGGTGGATGGAAACCTCTCGCACTCCCTTGGCCGAGGATTCTTTTTTTAACACTATATTTCTATCTCCACCCAAGTTTAACCATCTCAATTTAGTTTTAGAAAGTTGAACTAACACACGCATAAGCTAAGTTCGCTGACACACCGCATATTTACAAGCTCGGCACAAAGACTCCATTGTCCTCATCTCCCAAGCACGACTACAACAGAAAACAAATATTAAGAGATATACGAATGGTGAAGAAAAACAAAGACCGAATTAGAGCTATCAACTTTGGCTGTTTACATTTACGTACATGTCAAAAATTGCTTTCAGTAGCGGCCAGAGCCTATGTATTGCATCAGCCACAGCTTCCGGGTGATTCACATACCTAGCCACCAGTCTTTTAGTTTCACCACGAGAGTGAGAATAAATGGAAGAAAATATACACAGATATGAAAAAATTGGACCTGAAGATGTATGCAAGTCGATCAATATGGACCGTCAGTTCACGAGAATGCTTCTTACCAACTACTTCTGGACCCTGACTGATAATTTCCTGGCTTCCAAATATAACATATTTAGCATCAACCAGAAACCCATCCACATTTTACATCTACATTTGCAAAATACCACACCTGTAAAGGAGCAACCACTGGAAAGCATAACTTCTCTAAAGCTTGCTTTGCCTGGTCAGGAGGCAGTTCTGTGATGACCATACTGCAATACAAATGACAACCGAAGCAGGGAATTAGAACCTAATTTTAACTGTCACATAACATAATCAGAAGATAGACAAACAAATATTAATTACAAACCTTAAGGCTTCAACTACATGGAGTGAGTCCTCAGCAGTGACTTTAAAAGCACCCTCTCCAATAACTGCTCGATGGTATATGGAAAAGAGATCATCAAAATACCCAGAAAGCTTCTTCCGACAATCTGCAAACAGAAAATGAATTGACCAAAAGAGTCAACATGTTCATAAGAGACCATATGGCATCTTGGAAAAGGCTAAAAAATGCAAGCAGATGAAAGAACTGAATTAAAAAACAAAACACATAGGTAAAAAGTAAAAGTAGTATCTTCTTGCCCTCCCTTTATGTTATCAGAAACTTGTTTTCCAGAATAAAGTGAGCTCAAGACAAGAGATGAAAGGATATTCTTATGGCTTCCAATTTTAATATAAGTTTCACGTAGGGAAAATTTTCTGCAGAAGGACCACAAAATCATAGTTGGAAATCTACTCAGACAGATCTAGCACAGCCACACGCCATGCTACAATAAATAACAGCCCACTAGTTCGAAAAGGCTGTGCAGGCAAAAAGATAAGCAAAAGAAATGTCTCATGTTCCATGAATTCAAAGAACTATGCCTAGTCATAATTCTTGAATGGGCTTATAATTAAAATTTTAAGGCCAAAAGGTAAACTTCACTAGCAAAACAAGAGAACCTAGCACAGCCTGTGAAGTACCATTACTAGTATGCTAAAGGAAGAATCATCTAAAAAACAGCTGATACTAATTACCACGAAGTAACCTCATTCAAGACACGGAGAAGTAAAATATGGAAATTGAAACAGACGAATAGACAACCAGAGAGAGACTCCATACCATCACAAATGTGTCGAAATGCCAAAGCTGCAGCAGCTGCTGACTCTTCAGATGTACCCATGCCACGTAGTAAAACCTTTATCACTGAAGACAATAATGCCAGCCCATCTGATGCAGCATCGAGCCACCTTGAATATGCTCCAATGATTAAGCAAACTGAAAATTTTCAAGGAATTACTCAGTTCGGAGTCCACAATGAATGGGCAGAAAGAAATATGAGAGAAGGGGATAAACTCAGGTAAAAGGGAATCTATCCTCGATATCAGTATGACCTGTCTGAAGCAGCTGGGGCTGATCTGGAAGTTCCAAAAGCAAAGACATAATCTGTGCACGGAAACAAAATAAAATTTACGTTGATGAAACATACTAAAAATTATGCAAAAGATTAAGTTCCAAAGGGGTTATGCTATAGTGATCAGAAAGTAAGTTTAGTTCACTGGATCAGGAACAAGAACAGGTTGATTTTGTGATGTACGACCACGATTCACATAAATCAAGAAATGCAATCATAAATAATACTAGTAAGCATTTTAATTTAAACAATAAAATCTGGGTTAAAAGCAAATGATTTTGCCAACTGGAGGGAGACAAACCATAAAACTGGACAAGGAAAAACACTGCCAAATACCTGTGGCCAAGAGGGCAACTACTAACTCGAAAATAGCTGACAACAAAAAGCCCCAAACAGGAGTTGGACACTAGTTTACCTTAGGCATCACTTCAGCCTCGTCAGTTGAAACATATTTTGATATAGCCCTCACACAAAACAAAGCAGCTTCTGCAGGACGCCACTCATTCTGTCCATTCCCCCAGCAAGCTTGCGCCTTCAAAGGTAAAAAAAAAAAAAAAACAAATTCTCAGAACTTGAACAAACAAACAAAAAAATAAAATCTCCAACCGAAGATTCTCCAGCCAGACAAGAAAGCAAGAATTACAATATTATATCAGGTTATGAACAGAAGTGTATAAATCAAGAATTCTGAGACACTACAACTGAAGGAAAAAAAAAGGCCTTCATTTGTGCATATACTTGCAGCAGAATTATAAACTAAATCAGAAATCGGACACACAAAATGAGTCCATCTAAAGAAGCATGAGTGACTTTTGTGGGCCCTTGGTGTCAGTGTGCTGCATGTATTCTGACCATAGTGTTCCATCTCTTTACATTTGCGGAAGAAAAATGTATTAAACTGATAGATAAATACATAGGACACCCACCTCAGCGAGCTTCACATACAGAATTCTCAGAATGGCATCACCCCCTAACACTGATGCTGCATCAATTAGCACATCCGCAACAGCTACCAAGACCAAGGTTATGTATAAGTGCTCGGTACAAGATCAAAGAAGGTAACATATGAAGAAAAAACAAGCAACCATCCACATATTAAGCAGGAAGGAGGGGTCGGGGGTAGAAAGCGGAATGAAAAGGGAAATAGTCAGTCCACATGTTCAGAAAAAGAAATTCAACAGCCACACGTTCGTTGAAAGAAAAGTGCACATGACAGCATTTAGACTCATGTTAATGTAAGTTAGCTGTAAACATACCATTCAGGTAGCACCTAATCAGCGCCCAGAAATTTCTGACAATGACCAATTACAGAGACTGAAGAACAAAAACAAGCTTTTCCTCCAAGTGAGCAAAAACAGGACACTGCCAGTTCTCTGTTGACTATGGTCAACCATCGGTGAGCAGTCAGTCACTATCTTATGCCACAATCTGGTCCAGCACACTGGAGAAATTTCAACATCAGCATCGCGATGTAGAGCCTGAGATATTTCCCACTTGGAAGGCGCCTAATTGGAACCTATGTGACAGTGCAGTTGTAATATGCTCCCCTAGTTGAAAGACTATCAGTGTTGCCAAGCCGGAAAGGAGCTATATTCAAATGTTTTCACCGAACATTGGATGGCACATGCATGCGAGTACCACACTTGAATCAGGCAGGTGCTCAGAGAATAAGAGTAGTCCAGCAGAAAACACAAAAGAGGAAAAACAGTCAGAAGTTATCCTCTAATGCTACTGTTGCCTTCTCTCAGTCAGATAGTACTTCTCCTTTTCTTCATTTTATCATTTCAAAATACAATACTACAACAAAACTTAAGATAATGTCAATTGATCACATTTTGAACGCATTGGGAATGCATCTAAGGTACTTCACTAATTTAATCACTTGTTAACAGATGGAAGTTCTTATCCTCAGTTTCATTATTTGGTTTCAGATTTACTCAATATCTTAAAGCACAAGGAACCAGAACAAGGTGCCTCGCAAAGGCACGTTCAGATGCCGGATGTATGTAGCCTGACTCAGTATTCGAAGAGGCTGTTCCTTATGGTACTGTTAGCTGAGGATGATCCAAAGCAGTGACAGCTCCTTTAGGAAAAGTTTAACCAACGCAATCTCATCAAGAGACAGTTAAAAGTTATACTGTATTAATGTGTAGCTTCACCATCGTGCCAAATCTCAACAAAAATAGAAATTAAAGCAATGCGAAATTTTTTACTTTCCACCACTAAACTGCTAGAGTTATCCCCTAATGCCCATGTTGGAGCTTACTTGTCAGTACAGTGACTCTTCACATTACAGTGGTGAGTGGTGACACCAGACAAAGGACAAATCCATTCAGTATTCTAGTTTACTTGTAAATTGCTCATGCTACATTCGCAGCTTTTTTTGTGCACCTCAACATTCAGTAGAACAAAGGCAGTAATATTCACAGCAAACACACAATGTGCAGCATGCCCTGCAACAATCATGAATTAAGAGAACATACAACATAAACAAAAATTACCATATCTAGTCTGTTTAAATTCCTTCAGGTCTTCAATTGATAGGTTCTGATAATCCTGTGGATACTGGACGCGGAAGCTAACCTGTACAACAGTAAACGATAACCTTATATCCTTCATAAAAGTACCAAGTAAAAAGCGAACTCTGTTTTTCCATTAAATGTGCCTTCAGAGTGGAGACAATCAATTACTTGAGTTTTGAGCTAGATAATTAATTGTTGGTAGAGGAAATCTATGGCTCTGATACAAATATATTTCCAAAATGGAGACAACCGATTGCTTGAGTTTGGACTGGAGAAAACTTAATTTTACCAATGCATTGCTTGAAAGGATCAAATGTTCCTTGGAAAGAAAATGAACATTTGGGCACAGCTGTTACGGACTTACGGTCTTACATTGTAACTAATTGCAACTCACATAGTTTGGACTCTGGACCTCTTTCATGGCACTGAATCAAGTACCTCTAGCAAAGTTGTTTCAGTGCTAACTTGACAAATGTATGTCCCTAGCACCTAAAAGTATTACTCACCAGCGATACAAGTGACTCATAAGCTGCCTGAAAAATCTGCAGCCTCCTATTTCTCTCGGCTTCGGCAGATGCTTCATTGCCGTAAGAAAGGTAGGAATCCCTGATAATAAGAGTGGTGTGGTAAACAACTTGTACTCAATCCCAACAAAAAAGAGTTCCAAATGACTCACATCTTGCAACAAAGTGTTGCTAAATAGATCTCCGTGTCAGACATACCTCCTAGTCAAGAACACTTGAAGATTATGCCAAAAATTGAATGTCATTGAGGCAATGTCATATTCTGGATGTGAAGCAACTTCCAGCAACGCATGGACTATCACCATTGGTTCATCAGAACCTGGACAAATAACAAATTTAAATCTAAGGAGTATACAATCTGCATTGAAAACTGGTTTCTCATGTTTGCTGGTGTTTCTCATGCATATCAGACTTCTCCTTTTCCATAAGATATAAAAAATAACACAATCTATGGACAATAACTCTTCCATCTCTCAAAAGAAGGCCCAGAACAAAAAAATTGAGATGATGAATAGGAAAAATATACCAGTAGCAATAAGCTCGACATATGAATCACCCAAGTCAGCAAATAATCGAGCAATTGCCTTCACATCTTCTTCATCCTATGAAAAAAATTGCAAACAATATAAGATCTGCATGGTTGTTGAAGCTGTGTTTTTCCTAAGGCTTCTTGTAACTAGAATGTGCAAGTGATAGGAATCAAGAGCAGTCTAAATAAAAATATAGAGAGAGAAGCACAAGAGTGGAAAAGCACAGCCATACAAAAAAAAAAAAAAAAACTCAAGGCCTCTAAAGCTCAATAATGTCTCAGGGAAAACAGATACGTCAGTTCAGTACTTCTCCATATGACAGCATTTAGCAAACTGCACCCTGAAGATGAAAGTCCTCAACTATAGTGTTGGAAGGTATCATTAAGTTCCACAGGACTAACATTTGTGAATAAAAACACAGAAAGCAATGAGTTCAAGTGAACAGAACAGCATTCGAATAGAGAAACACAGACCAACTTATTCCACAGCCAAACAAGTGACTCTACTAAAGCAGTAGTTTCATTCATGGTCCAAACTAAAACCTAATAGAAGACAGACGTACACATAACACTAAGTAGAATACTAATTGGACTATTGAGAGATGTCAGCTACCAAACTAGCATAATATACATGAATTTTTAAGTCCCTTTCACATAATACGACAAATAGACAAGGGTATGCAACTTGCAAGGACAAGAAGGCAATGGAGACCATTTATATAAACCTTGTAAGGCTTGTATCCAAGGGCCCCTTGCTAGCTCAAACGTACAAGGTTACAAGAGATCTCTATGTAATATATACTGGATGATAATACATCCACATTGTTCTGAACATTTAACATAATGTGTGATGTTGTACTTCTTTCTGAATCGCATATTCGCTCGACAGGACTAACTCAGATCATGAAGAGTTAAATATAGATACACTTCAGAATGCAATACCTTCGAAGAATCTCGAAGTTGTTCCTTTAAACTCATCACTTGGGGCACAATCACTTGAATTAAAGGCATCTGGACAGGAATACCACCAGAATGTTTTGCTGTTGTGTAGTGTATCAATTCCGAAACCACTGCAGAGAAACTTCTGATTTCAAAATTTAAGAAGCAATATATTTAACACATTCTAATAAGGCTATATAACAATAATCATCCTTGACAAAAATTTCCTTAATATTAACAAAACATGGCAACTCCATTTTCCACTTAAAGGTTCCGCTGCTTCTAAGTAGCTACAGCTCAATAAACAATCAGCAACAGTAAACAACAGTACAATTAATACCAATATATTGGTCAAACAAACCACCAGACACTCTTTGAGAGTTAACAGCAATACCATTTACAGCTGCCTCAGACAGAAACTCAGAATTCAAGCTTGAAAGAGCAGTATGGACCAATGGATGCATTGCAAGCACAGAACCTGGGACCCTGAAATCAAGAGAAGCTGTATGAAAAAAAAAAAATCTAACAGAGACCAACTAGGAAGTTTCAATCATGGGTCCCTTAGATTCTAACTGTCATGATACCATGTCCTCCACATTAAAATTACCCAATTCTACAAACATAGAAACACCCAGCCTCACACATAGAAGGAAATGCATACCCGTGCCTTAGGCGCAGCCAAGAAGCAAATGCCTCGAGAACCTGGAGTAATACACATCATTAGAAGCTTATCCAATGTAGCAATTGATATGGACAATCGAAGTGCTTAACATGAGTTGAAATTCAATCATAGTAAACCTTACAGGTGCAAGAACACCTCAATTTCTTATTTGGTTTTTCATTTTACAAATTTTTAAGCATGGTTAACCATATGGATAGAGATAATCAAAACAATAGGGACCACAATAGTCAGAATCAAATTTACAATGTCCATGATTGAAGGACAAGAGCAATTTCAGCTCCAGGAAACAGGAAAACTTGAATAACGAAAGCCAGGTAATGAAACTAGGTCATGTTTTCTTACCATTAGAAAGATATCGTTCATGTTCCTGTAATTGTATAAAGTTGCTTCAATCAAGACCATTTATGCAGGTAATTGAGTCATTATATTATCTTATTAGCATTTGTCATTATATTAGCTTATTAGCATTTGTCATTATACTATCTTATTAGAATTTGCCATTTTGTAATACGTTGAAGTTGCTTTAATCAAGACCATTTATGCAGGTAAGTGAGACATTATCTTACTAGCATTTGCCATTTTGTAATATGTTGAAGTGCATGGACCACCATTGCCACATTTGACCAACACAAATTGAAAGCAAGGGATAAAAATGAAGGTTGTTACAAGCTGCAAGTGTTGCATATTATTCAAAGTTCAAACAGCATCTCCCACAGATAAGAGCGAAAATGTTTTATTTTACCAAGAGAATGCTTCAGAGAGCAAAACATTCTCAAGAGTACTAAGCTACGTAAGTGATAGTTTAGAGAAGCAAAAGAATCAGTACAGTTCTTACCTGCTCCTTGAGTTCATTTATCTTCAAACAAGCAGTCAATATGCTAAGAGCCACTTCCATCTGAGATGTGAGCTCCTTTTCAAATTGACGTCTTCTTTCTGGACGAGCTGCAATTTTGTGATTGAAGGTTTCCTAGAATGTGAAGAGATAATAACTATGAGAAGCAGATCTGCCTAGGTCTAGTCATGAACCCCAAGGTAATGACCGAGTAGAAACAGGGATGAAAAACATCCAGGCCATCATAGGCTCAAAACCAATGGAACAAACATTTCTAAGAAGCAGCCTAGCCATGATATGACTTCTCACCCACACTATATGTATTTAAGCGACAATCAGCCACCACAAGTCATTAAACATATAGGCTTTGTTTGACATAACTTCCATTTTTCTACTACTTAACTAAAGTGTGTCCATCAAGCTTACTTTATTTGCTTCAATTTAAAGTTTGTTTTCCTTTTAATTATATCGGGCATCACAAAACAAAGTTATTAAATTTGTACAGCCCATCAGCAAGGAAAAAGGCTGAGAGCAAACAAATAAGACACTAAACACGTGTATAATAAAAATATTTTATAATTATATTTAACGGAAATCCAAATGGATCTCTTTGATGATAGCTTAAATGATATTGATCGGGTTTTCAACTTGAACTAGCAGAAATTGTGTAGAAGAAATGTGATGCTAACAAGAAATGTGATGTTTTCAAATGAAGGCATTCACAAAGAACTTCAAACAACTCACTACTCTATCCCAATTAACATAACTTAGAATCTAAACAACTGTAGCATTCCCAAAATGTGATTAACAATCAGAAAATGAAGACAATTCACATGTAGTTGGTTACCTCGGGCAAAACTGTAAGCAACTCCAGGAATCCTGGTATGTACTCTGGATGAGAATTCATCTCATCCCTGAGCCAATTCACAATACCACCATCTCCCCAATCCTCCGCAGGAACTTGTACAGCCAAGGCAGCAACAGCAATACTGATCTATACGCAGACAGCCGATGGTTAGTTTCTTTACTATGAAGAACTAATAAGCAAGTATTGAATGCTTGACTCTACCTGAGTCCTGACTTTTGGTGGCCCTATATGAAATTTTTTCAGCAATGTCTGCAATGAAAATACATCAGAAATATGAAAAATGCTTAGATAGTCATCTCTCGATGCACAGGGAATTAAGGAAACAAGTATAATATCCTTATTCATTAACCTTAACAGTGGCATGAAATGACATGGTGAAGATAGGGCATCCATAATAGATGTCAACCTCCTATATCAGTTGTCTTGCAGATCCAGATAAGCATCATAATAGATGTCATCCATAAAAGGATATACAAAAACAAACATTGGACTGAAACAGTTCAAGCCAATTTCTTGCTGAACTACAGTTCACCAGATTCACAATCACCCTTCAACAGCAAGGATGGGGTTATCAAGGACATGTCAAGAGACAAAGTAAGAAAATGGAACTATTGAACAGACAGATATATTACTCCTAAATAAGATGCCAAGTATATATCAAAACCCCATGAAGCCCTCCTTCTAAAGCAATCATAGGAGGATCCATGCCTATCGTATGGATAATATCGTAGATGCTGAGCAGTAAACAATCAGTGGTTTCCATTGTGCTCAGAGAATAAATGCACATAAACCATGCAGCACTTTTGAAACTCGTGGCGTCTCACTTTCAACAAGTATAGTTTGGATAGTTAAGTAAGAAGAATGTACGCTACAATGAATGAAATCTAACCGTTAAGATGGAAACCACACTTCTCTGGTATAAATCAAATATTTTGTCTCAGGATTCATTCATGTACTGTTTACGGTAATAAACAGTAAATCAGACATTGCGGCTGGCATGAAGAAATTTAACAAAATTTCCCTGATTACTCCAAAAATAAAACATTGTCACTCACATTCAATGAGGTTTGCAACGGGCGAAAGGCTTCAGAAGGTAGCTCTTCGAAATCTCGTTGTACCTGGACACACGTGGAAAGCAGCCAATTTATCCTCCATTCTTGAAGAAAAGGAGAAAGCAATCAACAGGTACTGAGCTGATAAAGATGACTGCTGCATTAACAGCTAATTGATAATCCCAGTTACCTTGCTCCTAAGGGTTTGAGAACAAAAGATTAGTGTTTCCATATTGCTCGTGGCATCGTGGAGCAGATTGTCAGCAACCTGAAAGAACCAGTTCGAGTTAGAATGCCACTGATACAATTACCTTAGGCGACATTTAGGAGAAAACCGGTAATAAAAAGAGAACTGCAAAACGCCAGAGGGTTAGTAAACAGGAAAGCAGCTACCAAGAAAACCAAAACAGATTGCAAAAAAAAAGTAAACTTTGATAAAAACACTGAGTGCAAAACCAGACCAGCTAATAAATGAATCACACTCTAAATTCTGCCTCGGGAAAAAGCAATCGATTATGAATTCAGATATGGATCAGGTTAGTCTAAAAACACTAACCGTCTGAGCAGAAACCATAACACCCTACTGGCATACAATGTGTTTCAAATATTGGTCCACTTTCATGTAAAATGCTCTAAACCACTTCAAGTCGCTATACAGACCTAGTTCCAACAATTCCTGTCCATTCAACTTCCCCTCCAATTCGTAATACCAACAGCCCCCCTCTCCTACCATTTCTTCTATCCAGTAGCTAACTAATCGGCCACTGATCTATAAGCACCAAAAGCAACAGCGAGCCCCAGCTCTCTCGGACGGAAATAGAAGTTATCATGAACTTTTACGCCTACAGCTTTCCGAATACAGAACAAAAGCAGCTCGCTCCGATACCAATTTTCAGTAACAAAATAGAGGGAGACAGTAGGCGAACCTGCCAGGCATCGAGGGTGCGCTGAAAGCTCTGGAGCCAGCGATCGGCTTCCATGCGAACGGCATCGTCAGGGTGATGATACAGTGCATTTAGGGCTTCTTTGACCGAATTCTGGAGCTCCATTTGAGAAGAAGAAGAAGAAAAACCTCCCCGCTTCCACCCCCGGACTTCTTCCCCGCGCCCCCAATCAGAAAGCGATAGCTCCCCCTCGAAACCAACCAGGACTGTGGATGAAATCGAGCGAATTGAGCCAGCCAGCGAGCGAGGAGAGAGTTCGTGTATGATTTGATTTGCTGTTGGTTCGTTTTTTCAAAGTGAACAAACAAAAAAAAAACAACGCCCAAAAGCGAGAGAGGGAAATAAAAAAAGAAAATCGGAAAAGAAAGAAAAAGGGAGGATTGCAATGTTGTGTGTGTGTTTTGATTTTTTGTGAAAGGGGTTTTTGGCGCCCGCCTCTTCTCTGTTGTCAATCCAATTCCAATCCCTGACCTGATCTCTCCCCACTCTCTCTATCTTGCCCCCCAATGAGCTCAGCGGACAGCGAATGAACGGGGGCTTCCTTTTCATTTCTTTAATAATAAAAAATTGGCTAAATACACTTGTATAGCCAAAACTTTGACTTTTTGCCATATATAGCCACTTTTGACGAAATAGCAGAAATAACCACTTCTGTCCAATTGTTTGACGACGTTAGTTAACGTGCTGACTGGACAAACTGACCATCCAACGTGGCTATTGTCGTTAAACAAGTGAATTCCACGTGGAATTAAAAAAAAAAATTAACGGAAGGGTAAATGCGAGCAGCCGCCTCATTCACTTTCTAACTTTTCCATTTCCCCTTCCCTTCCCCCGATTCGATCTTCAGTGAAATCCTTCTCTCCGACGAGGGTTCCACACAACGAAGCCGTCGAAGCTACCACCGACACGAGTGCAGAGTAATCCATCGCAAGGACCAAGAAGGCGAACAAATGTGGTCAACGGAAACGTTCCGAGCGAGCTAGATCGATTTCAGCCTGGGAATCGCGGTAATTGTGCAGAGAGCCAAGCGAGTATGAGATGAGACCTAACTTCTCCAATTTCATGATGATCCTCTCGACGCGATTCGGCTTGGCAGCGGACGAGGCTTTCGTGTTTCTCAGGTGGGATTTGATAAAAGCATCGTTGGAAATTAGGGTTTTGACGGATTTGGAGACACACCTGAATCGGACGAGGGGGCGGACGGGCAACCAAGCGAGTATTTCGGCGACGAGCTCTGGGGGGAGAATAGGCAGATGCCCCAGCGGTCGATCTGTATTCTTCGCCTCGTCGGAACTTGGAGAGACTGGGTCTGCGCGAAAAGAAACGGAGGTGGCGGAGCTGGGTACGTCGTCGAGTGCGAGTGCGACGGAGCTCGGTTCGTCGATGAGTGCAACGGGGCTGGTTCAATCGGTGGAGCTGGGTTTGTCGACGAGTACGGCGGGGATGCTCTTCATCTCCATGGCTGAAACCCTAAATGAAATGGAATTGGGGAACTGAAAGATGAACAATACCAATCTGATTCCCCTGATTTAGGTTTTTTTTTTTTCTTAAAAATGACGTGTCATCCCACCTGTCAATGGATGCTGAGGTGGGAAGGAAAGATATGGTGAGTTGGCAGCCAAATCATTGTTCCGTTAATTAGATTAACGGTGTAACTGACGCAGTCAAACTATGTAACGGAAATGGCTATAATTGTCATCGAACTTTCAAATTTCTGGCTATTTCTGGTATTTCGCCAAAAATGGCTATATTTGGCAAAAACGTCAAAGTTTTGGCTATACAAGTGTATTTAGCCTAAAAAATTTAGCAAGATTGTCAAACCGATTTCTATCGTTATGTTTTTTTTTATAAGGGTGATACAAGTTTCTTTTTGGTGATTAAGGTATTGGGTTAATTGCATGGTTTGTCACTGAGATTACAAAAAACGTTCATGTTTGGTCACTGAAAATATTTAAATCCAATCTTGGTCACTCAAATTAGTGAAATGGTTCAAGATTGGTCACTCTCCGTCCAAGTCCGTTAACTTTTGCTTATGTGACAGTCAACTTTTATAATTGACTGTTAAATGTGTGACATATCAATTAAAAAATAATAAAATAAAATTAATTTAATGTTTATATTTTCCACCTCTCCTAACTGAAACAGGGGTGGCAATGCTCGTCGGATTCGTCTTATCACCTCCTCGCGAGCACGACCGAGGTTTCGCTCATCGAAGAACTCGCGAGAGACCGTCAAGGTTTCGCACAGCCTTGCCGCGGGGATGCCGTCGTTGACGATTAGAAAGATGCCGAAGTAGGAGCATGCTCGTCAGATTTGCCTTATCGCCTCCTCCTTCTTTGCATCGTCGGCGTCGGTAGTAGTAGTGAAGAAGGAGCCACAAAAGCACCATCGAAATTATTCTAATCAATCCTTGGCGCTGAGGTTGAATTTGCCCGCGGGAAAGGCATGGCTGCTCTCGATTCCTGGTCCGATTTCGAAATACATTTTTTATTTAGTTTTTTTTTTGGTTTATTAATCCCAGGCACCAGTAGCTACAAAAGCGGCTTTGTCTGGCACAATTAGGCAGAGAGCGATTTCAACTACCCGGCCCACGGCAGCGAGTACGTCATCAAAGGATCGAAGCTTCTCAAACCTGTGTCGGCGCCATTGGTCGAGTCCACGCCTTCAGATCCGTAAAAGTACCAGCCGAGATTCAGAGTCACAGTCGTCCTCGTCTCCGTCGTCGAACGATGACCTGGATCCTCGCCCAACTATCGCGCGGCGGAGGAACTAGTCCTGGAGATCCATCGATCTCAGCGAGTACAAGGTTTACAGAGCAAAGTCGTTCTCCAAGTCGAGCCGGAGGCTGGCGGCGGACGCGGGGACTCAGACCGACGACAAAAGGCGGCGGAGGAGGCCGGTGAAGCTAGCCGAGGAGCCATCGGATTCCAACCCGGAGACGCCAGAGACGCTGATGAAAGCGGACAGGCGGCTGATACTATTAGGCGCGAGGAGGAGCGGCGGCTGATACTACTGGGTGTTTGTGTAGGGGCAACGTCGAAATCGGTGTTGGAGCTGATGAACGGGAACGGTGGCGGAATAAGGTCGGGGGAGGATGTTTGTCGGAGGGATAACATTAACAATTAGGTTTTTTTAATAGTTGTAAAAGTGAGGTGGAAATTAGAAAAAGATTAAATTTTAATTTTTTAAAATTTAATAATTGTCATGTCACACATTTAATGATCAACTATAAAAGTTGACTGCCACATAAGCAAAAGTTAACGGATTTGGACGGAGAGTAACCATACTTGAACCATTTAACTAATTTAAGTGACCAAAATTGGATTTAAATATTTCCAGTGACCAAACATGAACGTTTTTTGTAATCTCAGTGACCAACCATGCAATTAACCCTTAATTTACTACTTAGGGAATTCGAACTTGGGGCCTCCAGGTTCTAGGCTAGTGGTATTACCACTAGACCAAGCCCTTGTTCGTATCATTATGCTATTTTGATAGATAGTATAGTCAGATAGTGATACAATCGGTTTACGCGAATTCATAACCGTTTAGCAAAATACGTAATGAAGTGGAAAATTATTAATATGAAATTAATTTATGCAATATATATATATATATAACATAATTTAAACAAAATGAAAAATTCTCATGTTTAATTACAACATATAAGGCCAATATTCAGAATTTTATACTTGAATCGAACAAATAATATGAACATATCTAATCGTTCATGCTTGAATCCAAAAAATCATATCAACATATAACTATCAAATTAAAGAAACAAATAAAATTATTGTTTTCTGATAATTAAATTCTCGGCACTTTGTTTACAAGTTGAAAAACAATCATACTTGTTATATCATAGACATTCCAACAAAATTTGTGCACGATACTGGTCAAACCCATTTTTACGGCCCGACGTGCCATCGGCATGACAACCATGATTTCAGACATTGACCGTATTATTTTTACTATAATTAATCAATTGGGATCATAATTAATTTATAATCATATGTAGATTCCAAAGGAATGGTTCACATATACCAATTGGGGCGTGCACGACCCAATTGAGTTTGTTGAGTGAAAAAAAAATTAATTGGGGTGAGGACAAATCCAATTGAGGCGGTCGCGCCCCAATTGTAATTTTGGGTTCTACCCCCTCGCATATGCTCCTCCTCTCTTCACTTGCTGCCGGTGTTGAAGGTAGAAGATTGAAGATGCTCTCCATTCTCATAAACAATCCATATATTATTTCTACTAAATAATTTAAAAAAAATACATTCTAAACAATACATGTATAATATTTTCAACAAAATAATCACAACTTCCAAACTACCCTAAATTTCAGAGCTAGCGCCAATCTGACTCCCCAAACGGAATGTGTTATGGTGGCAACTAGAATTCTAGTAGCCACCGTGGCTACATCCGTATTCGCCATCCATTTCTCTTTTTTCCCTCTTTTTTTAATCTCACAGTTAAGATTGCTCTATGGTCATTTTGGAAACAAAAAATGATTACACTAGATTATTCTATATATTCTACCCAAACCCTACTTATACCCTCCCTCAACCCAAATCTGTCGCAGCCGCAAGCTCCCATCGTCGACGAAAAGCTAGCCAAACCCTACTTCTACCCTCCCCTCCCTCAAGCCAAACCTACTGCAAGCTCCGCCAGCACCTCCACCACCCCGACGCACCAGCCTCGACGTCCCATAAATCCGGCCATCCGCCGTTGCCTAAGCCATGAAACAGGCAGCTCCGCTGATCCTGAATCGGAAGCTCGCGGAAGAAAGAAAATCGATTCATGTCATCATCATTGACTCGAGTAGAGACTAGAGAGCGATACAGAGGGATGGAGAGACAAAGCGCCATGGATTATGTATACATGGAAGGTAACGAGATTGAGAATCAGAGCAGTGGCGAAAGGTGGAACCAGAGAAAGTGAACTTTGTATCAATGGTAGTGACCTACATTTTTAGTAGTTATAAGCCACATCGGTAGTGATCTTGCAATGGTAGTGATCTTGCGGTGGATTGGTATGTTAATTGATTTTGCATTGGTAGTGGTCAAGATGAGTTGTATTGTCTTTTTATCTTGCAATGGTATGTGTGTGCGGTTTTGTTGAGACTGACATGCATTGGTAGTGATTTATCGTATGGAATGGTAGTGTTCATCGCTATATGTGCAATAGTACTTTTCGAGTTTTATGAAATGGTATTGGTTGTCGTACAGAAGCAAGGTTTGGGTAGAATATGGTAGTTTAATTATTTAATAATCACTTTTCATAATTATCTCCCCCCAATCATCCACGTAATTAACACGATATTTATGATTATAAGGAAAACAAAATACCATTTATATCCCTGGTAATAGTTAGTAAAATACTGTTCGGGAAAGTTACTTATAAAATACGTATGGATATTTTACTGCATCTCCAAGCTAATGTTACGTTCAATAGTACATTACTAGTCATAAATATATTAAATAAATTATTTTAAAATAAATAAATAAATAATTATAAAGTTAACAATTCAATTCATTAAATACGGATATTAAACGTGTTATACGAATTTTATACGTGTTTAGTACGGGAGCCATCAAATGAACGAGAACAAATCAAACGACTTGACAATAATACAGATACGAAAGTTTTAAACGGATAAAATATGTACGGGTACATATACGTGTATTAAACGGAGTATTTACTAACTATACTGATAACCACGGTGATTGCTGATACTATGACGAGAAGCAAACAGAAGCATAGGGTTTTTCTTGGCTGTCGCAGGAGAGCAACCAGCCATTTATACCCTTCGCCAATACACACGGATAAAATGGAAAATTACAAGACACTCCACATGGAGTATAAAACGCACAACCAAGGCCAATGATACTGGTTAAACCCATTTTTACCGACCGACGTGCCATCGGCATGACAACCATGATTCCGGATATTGACCAGATTATTTTTACTATAATTAATCATTTGAGATCATAATTAATTTGTAATCATATGTAGATTCCAAAAGAATGGTTCACATATACCAATTGGGGCGTGCACCACCCAATTGAGTTTGTTGAATGAAAAAAAAATAATTGGAGTGAGGACAAATCCAATTGAGGCGGTCGTGCCCCAATTGTAATTTTGGGTTCTACCCTCTCGCATCTGCTCCTCCTCTCTTCACTTGCTGCCGGTGTTGAAGGTAGAAGATTGAAGATGCTCTCCATTCTCATAAACAATCCATATATTATTTCTGCTAAATAATTTAAAAAAATAATACATTCTAAACAATACATGTATAACATTTTTAACAAAATAATTATAACTCCCAAACTACCCTAAAATTCAGAGTTCGCGCCAATCTGACTCCCCAAACGGAATGTGTTATGGTGGCAACTAGAATTCTAGTAGCCAACGTGGCTACATCCGTATTCGCCATCCATTTTTCTTTTTTCCCTCTTTTTTCAATCTCACAGTTAAGATTGCTCAATGGTAATTTTGGAAACAAAAAATGGTTACACCAGCTTATTCTATATATTCTACCCAAACCCTACTTATACCCTCCCTCAACCCAAATATGTAGCAGCCGCAAGCTCCCATCGTCGACGAAAAGCTAGCCAAACCCCACTTCTACCCTCCCCTCCCTCAAGCCAAACCTACTGCAAGCTCCGCCAACACCTCCACCAGCCCCGACGCACCAGCCTCGACGTCCCATAAATCCGGCCATCCGTCGTTGCCTAAGCCATGAAACAAGCAACTCCGCTGATCCTGAATCGGAAGCTCGCGGAAGAAAGAAAATCGATTCATGTCATCATCATTGACTCGAGTAGAGACTAGAGAGCGATACAGAGGGATGGAGAGACAAAGCGCCATGGATTATGTATACATGGAAGATAACGAGATTGAGAATCAGAGCAGAGGTGAAAGGCATAACCAAAGAAAGTGAACTTTGTATGCAATGGTAGTGATCTACCATTTTAGTAGTTATAAGCCACATCGGTAGTGATCTTGCAATGGTAGTGATCTTTTGGTGGATTGGTATGTTAATTGATTTTGCAATGGTAGTGGTCAAGATGAGTTGCATTGTCTTTTTATCTTGCAATGGTATGTGTGTGCGGTTTTGTTGAGACTGACATGCATGGTAGTGATTTACCGTATGGAATGATAGTGTTCATTGCTATATGTGCAATAGTACTTTTCGAGTTTTATGAAATGGTATTGGTTGTCGTACAGAAGCAAGGTTTGGGTAGAATATGGTAGTTTAATTGTTTAATAATCACTTTTCATAATTATCTCTCCCCCAATCATCCACGTAATTAACACGATAATTATTATTACAAGGAAAACAAAATACCATTTCTATCCCTGGTAATAGTTAGTAAAATACGGTTCGGGAAAGTTACTTATAAAATACATATGGATATTTTACTACATCTCCAAGCTAATGTTACGTTCAATAGTACATTAATAGTCGTAAATATATTAAATAAATTATTTTAAAATAAATAAATATATAAATAATTGTAAGTTAACAATTCAATTCATTAAATACGGATATTAAACGTGTTATACGAGTTTTATACGTGTTAAGTACGGGAGCCATCAAATGAACGAGAAAAAATCAAACGGCTTGACAATAATACAGATACGAAAATTTTAAACGGATAAAATATGCACATTAAACGGAGTATTTACTAACTATACTGATAACCACGGTGATTGCTGATACTAAGTAATCACCTAACCTCTCTCCAAACTGATGTTCGAATCGGACATTTTCTGCCAACAAATAACAATGCTCTTCTTTTGAGCACCAACTCCCACATAATTTACATTTCGGGTTAGTTTAGAACGCGAGTTCAGCATGAGTTGTAAAATGCAATCCACGGCGCTCCCAACCCAAGTCCCAACCTGCATGTTTTAGACGTTTAAAACCTAAACCACTTATAACCAAGCCGCTCCTTTCGTCCTTCCGTTTACAACCCACGGCAGAGCAGAAGTACCACAAAAAGCGCGCTCTCTACTTGCCCCTCAGAGATCGTTGAGGCGAGCAATGGCTTCCTTATCAGCGGCGGAAGACCCATCGTCGTCGCCTAGCATATACATACCCGACGAGTGGGAGGCGGCCGCAGACACCATTGCGTACGACTCCAACACCAGTCCGCCTCCTATTGCCTTCATTTGTGGCGCCAAAAACTGCGGCAAAACCACCTTCTCGCGTTACCTCCTCAACGTTCTTCTCCGCAGGTATTTAGGTCTAGGTTTCGCGTTTCCACTACCGGTTGCTTGCAGAAAGCTTTGAACTTGTTTAACGTGTGCTCGAAAACTGGAATACTGGGTGTTTGCACTCCAGGTGTTTGTTTAATTGTTCAGCAGAGACTTTTGTGTTTCAGCTGTTGTCTTACCTGAATGGCTGGTGTCTTGATGGGCTGAGCCTAGCTTATTTGAATAGCCCGGTAGTACAATGTGCTTTTTGCTTTGAAGTGATTTTAGTGTTCCTTTTGGTTAACTATAATGCTTTATTTAGGGAGTGGGGAGATCAATTGAGTATTTCCGGTTGATCCTTACTTTGCTTTTGACACGGTTTTGCAGATATAAGAAAGTGGGATACTTGGACACCGATGTCGGGCAGCCTGAGTTTACTACTCCTGGTTTCTTATCCTTGACAGTGGTTGACAAACTAACTGAAGGTACTTTGGTTTCCATGAAATGTGTTCATTTAGTTTCTTTCTCAATATGATTCTCCCCTGATCTGTCTTAAGTTCTCTCTGCTCCTCTGGTTTCTTGGTATCAGATTTGACGATTCCCTGCTTAAAGACACCTGAGAGGTTAGCTGTTTGTCTGTCTGTCTGTCTGTCTGTCTGTCTGTCATAGTAACCACTAACCAGGCAGGGATGCATTGAGGAATGCGATACATATGATTGCTGTATCATTCCTTGTTCTCAGATGCTTTTTCTTTGGCGATACTTCTTCCAAGCGGGATCCTACATCTTACCTGAAGTATATATATGCACTCTGTGACTACTATCGCAAGGAGTTCTGCACTGGTACTGAGAGTTCCCTAAAGAGAGGGTTGCCTCTTGTGGTTAACACCCCGGGTTGGGTTAAGGGTATGCGTCCTCACATTCTGTATATTTATTTCTATTTCCATTTCGACTGTGACACTTCTTCTTTGTGTTTAGATTCATATTCAAGTAGACTAACTCTGAAGTTCTTGTTTCCCAGGTGCTGGTTATGATATACTGGTGGACATGTTGAAATATATTGCTCCCACGCATGTGGTCAAGATAGATATTTCATCGACAAAAAAGAATCTACCGGCCGGTAAATTTTGGTTAGATGAAGATGCAGACCAGGAGGTTAATCTCATTGAGATCTGTTCAGCTCATCAGAATTATATCAATAGACCGTAAGTTGATCACGAAACTATCATATTCTGTCACTCGCCCACAGCAAAACTTTGTAGTTTTGCTCTGGAAAGATGTAAATTTTTATATATATGCTTGCAGATATCTAGAGTGTACTGCAATCTGAGGTCTTAAGTTAAAATATTCATTAAGAGAACTCTTATGCAGTGAAATGATGGGTCCTTGGCCTTACTTGGATATCTAAAGCATGTTTGTTGATCCATTTTAGTTACGATACCTTGCCATGATTTCTTAATTTCATTTGCTTGTGTTAGCTTGTTACTTCCTCCCCATCTCTGCTTTTCTGAAATTGTGTTATTGTTAAGTACTTAATAAATTTTGTTGTGGACAGGGCACTAGTGAAAAAGGATGCACATCTTTTGCGGGACTTGAGAATGATGGCTTATTTCAGACAGTGCTTTCCTAGTACCCTGAATGTTACCACAATCAAGGAACTTGCTAATGCCCTTGCTTCTCACCCTCCTTACCAAGTTCCCATATCAACAATTAAGATAAGACATCTGTATTGCCAGGTTGGTCTAGATCATCTGAAACTTGGATAGGTTTTTCCATGTTAGGGAAAACTCTGGGCTGCTTTTTTCTAATGGTTCAAATGTTATCTCATCTGCTAGGTACCTCAATCAGAAGTCTTCTACAGTTTGAATGCCACTATTGTCGGGTTGGCAAATAGTTCTGAGCAGGCAGGAACTCTACCATGGTGTCTCGGTCTGGGTACGTTCCTATTCCCCTGTCTCAACACATTTTGGAGACTTCATTTCACGACAACAACATATTGAACTATGAGTTACCAAAAAGAAAGAACTCATTCATAAGATTGTAATGCACCTCTAATCTGAAAGTCTTGTTATGTTTTGCTTCCACTTGAGCAGGCATAGTGAGAGGAATCGACACATCAAAGGGATTGCTATACATAATCACCCCTGTTCCACAAAGCACACTGGAAAAAGTTGATCTTCTTCTACAGGGATTTGTCGAGATACCTACTTGTTTGTTGCAGGTGATCTATCTTCTCTGTCTATCTCAATTGTCTTTTTTAGGGTCTTGATATATATAGACCCGATTTCTGATCCGAACTGGTTATTGATTCTCTCCAGGTGCAAGGATGTATGTCGCCTTACATGTCTGCAAATGTTTCGCCAGCAAGTTAACACTCCTGGTAGAAAGCGTAAAGTCTAGCGACTCATGGTGCACGCCTTACACCCTTGCCAACAGAAATGGAAAGCTTATTATAATGAGGAACTCTAGGTTGTAGCTATTCTAATTTCTAAGTTATGAATGAGATTTCACGTTTGATGGTCCATGCAGTTTTCTCTGTTGTTGAGAAATGGAAACTGAGACTATTTACAGAGCTCTATTTTCAGGTTCATTAGGAAGAAAGGAAAGAGATAAGATAACCCACCTTCATCATCCAAGTCCCCCCTCTCTTCCTTCCATTAGAAAGCTTGTTTGTTGCCTAACAATAGCAAAGTGCAAAACAAACCACCCAAATTTTGAAACCCCCAAAAACTAATTTTCCACAAACTCACACCTTCTCTCTTTTGAGTTCTTCACCTCCTCTCTTCTTCCCCTCTATCACAACCATACACAGAGAGGAAGGAAGAAAAAAAGCAAAAGACAGAGATAGGAAACAAAAGAAGAAGAGAAAAAAAGGTCATGATCTTGCTCTGGTAATGATCATGATCTTCTCTCTCACCACCATCGCCCTCTGAGAGAAAAACCCAGAAGGGCAAACAAATTTTAGAAAGCAAGAAACCATGGAAACCAAGATCCCCAATGTTGCAACAACGAAGAGAACATTCAGAGCCTACGTTGAACAGGAACTGGGCAAGTTCCCACACTTCATAATCTACGCAGTGTTAGAATGGTTCTTAATCCTGGTCCTCTTCGCCGACGGGTTCCTGTCCTTCTTCGCCAACGAATACGCCGAATTCTTCGACCTCCGGCTGCCATGCCTGTTCTGCACCAGAATCGACCACGTCCTCCGCCGCAGATCTCACAGCTTCTACTACAACGACTCCATCTGCGATTCCCACCGGAAAAAGGTCTCCAGCCTTGCCTACTGCCACGTCCACAAGAAGCTCTCCGACATCAGGAGAATGTGCGAAGGCTGCCTCCTCTCCTTCGCGACGGGGAAAGAATCCGGCTCCGACACCTACAAATCCCTCGTCGGCATCCTCCACAAGGACATCGAGCTCTTCTTCGACGACGACGGCGAGGTTCAGCTCCCGAAACAACCGAACGACATCGTCGTGGCGGCGGCCCAGGCCCATCATCCCGTTCATCGATGCGCCTGTTGTGGAGGCCCATTGAAAGGCGGGGGGAAACCAAAGGGGAAAACCCCCGGATTCTCACAAGCTCCAACGCCGTCTCCGCGAGCGCCGCCGGCTCTCCGCCATCTCGAGCTACCGCCGATGAGATTCGACTCGGAGAACAATAATAATAATAATACGGTGGACGAGATAAGCGAGGAGCTGAGGACGCCTAGCTTCATACGTGGGAACAAATTCTTCGGCATCCCGTTGTCCGATTCAGCAACCGCGACTCCCCGGTGGGCGATTCGGTGTCCCCCGAAGAAATCGGCGCTCGAAAGGTTTTCGAGCGCCGAATTCTCGGCCGAAGAAGGCGGAGGCTGCGGCACCGGCGGAGATCAGAGCGCCCCGCCGGAGCCTGACGGAGGGGACTCGAGGCAGGTCCGGCTGGACCGGAAGTCGCTGATGGAGCTGTACATGGAGCTGGACGAGGAGCGGAACGCGTCGGCGGTGGCGGCGAACAACGCCATGGCGATGATCACCCGGCTGCAGGCGGAGAAGGCGGCGGTGCAGATGGAGGCGCTGCAGTACCAGCGGATGATGGAGGAGCAGGCGGAGTACGACGAGGAGGCGATCCAGCTGCTGAGGGACGACCTGAAGAAGAAGGATCGGCATGTGAAGTACCTGGAGAACGAGATCGAGGCGTACAGGATTCGGTATGGGGATATAGCGGAAGATGGGTTTGTGATGGATGAGGTTGATGATGATGGGGAGTATCAGATGGAGGCGTCGGAATCTGGTAGCCCGAGCTACAGCTATGGCTATGGCGGGAATAACATCATCAATGGAGTGGACGGTTCAGGGAAGAATCAGGTTGAGAATGCAGGGGATGGAGGAGGTTCTGTGAGGCCTAACAAGTTCGGCGGACTGCGCAGGCTGAAGCATGTCGAGGTGACATCGTCGGACGACGAGACAGGTAGCTATTACCTTGATGTCTGATTTACGCAACTAATTCATTATGTTCTTCTTGATACTGATGTGCATTTTGATTTTTTTCCTGAAATGGCAGAGCAAGAGAGCAGAATGGACGCGATATCTCATCTGCGAGCGAGGGTAAGAGCATTGGAAGAAGAGGATGATTTCTTCAGAGATGATGACGACGACGACGATGATGATGTTACAGTAGGAGGAGGACTAGAGAATGGAAGCGAGAAGGGGAAACTTCTGTCGGAGATATCAGAGAATCTGCAGAAGCTTCGTCAGGATTTCAATGCCTGAAATGTGTGTTGTGTTTTCATGCCAAACCACGAAGCCCTCTTTTCCACAGTAAAAGCTAACGATTCCAGTCAAATTGTCTCTCTAGCAGAGCAAGTTAGCTCCTCCAGCAAGTAAGAAACTAGCTTCTAGCGGCGGAGAAGCCTGCTGGACCTTTCGATCAGAAATGAGAAGAAATCCACCATTGCCGAGTGAGATGGAATCTTTTGCGAGTCCAGATTTTCACCAGATGGTGGTTTTAGCTTGTAGGAGATTGATTGATTTGCAAAGGAATGACTGATACTCTGAGAAAAGATTCCATCTGTTAAAACTGTAAAATATTAGATTACCACTTTCCCTCCATATATAAAGTTTTAGTTCGATCTGCTTTCTCAGTCAACAAAGCTTTAATTCCATCGGATTTCTAGTGCTGCGTCAAGAACCAGTTGATATTAATAACTCAAATTGTTGTAAAAGGTTCAATCGTGAATCATATAACATTTATTATTATTCCGCTTCAAACTCAAGCAATTCAAATAGGCTTGAAGTTTAACAGAAACAGATGGGGTCATCGGGAATCAAAGCTTTTACTAAAATTGGTGGGGTGCACCAGGCCCGTGCTGTAGTGCAACGCATGGGCGACACTCGAGAAGGCCCCTGAAGCAAGCTCCAGTAGTGAGCCTTCTCCCCCTATAAAAATAAATTTAATATCGTGTGGGCCATTGGCCCACATATCAGATATTAAACTGATAAGAACAGATACTACACTTGATCTTAGCCAAAAGGCCGAGAAAGGTATGATTTGTATAGCAGCGATGACTTCGTCTTTATATCTGTCTTGCTTGCTTCCAGACGTCTTCTCACCCTATGTGGTACAAACTACAAACTGCTTCTTTCATTTAGTATTGAGAAAACAGCTCATTTTATAAGCAAAGTATTGAGAAAATTCGCAGAAGTTACCTCTTTATCATCATAAATAGAAGAGCTGATGCCTCAATGGATGATCCTTCTGGTTTCCCACTGAACCCAGTTGTGTGTTGCGCATTGCAGATCCCTTTTTCTTCTTTTTGACAGAATAAATGCAAATTCGATCATGTCTGTAAGCTGGCAATAGGGAACGTCAATTCTCAAGTGGCAAGTAAAATAAATCCTAATCGGTATGCCTCCCATAACAATACATCCCTGTCTGAATTCTGATGCAACGAGGTTCCAAATTTTGTCTGATGAGACACATCATGATATAGCCATTGAACAGCAGCTAGCCTGACCTTAATCATTCAAGCACGATCAGCAGGTCACCTACTTTCCTTAATGATACCTGCACGCATCTGAGACATATTTCACTAGTCTACGTCAATTTACATTAGTGTGATCAAACAAAAACAAGGCTTTTGACCACTTAAGTTCAGATTAAGTTCAGATGTCAGAATGATCATCTGCTGCAAATTTCCAGAGCATAATCTGTCCTAGGCGATGGAACTCCGTATCAGAATTATCTCTAAGTGGGACATACAAAATTTCCACATCATCGTGTATTCTCTTCTATTTGCAGATGATGTGCTGCTCAAGAGTCAGAGGAGCTGTAAGCATGAACTAGGCTCGAGAATAAACACATGACCACGATTTATGAGGCTAGAATCGTTGGAATTAGCCATTGTTGGAGCAGTAATCGTTCTCGCCGATTCGATCGAAGGCAGGAGGCCTGCATGCATGCATAAGATGAAGGGAAGAAAAATGGCAAACTTGGTGATTGTGGGCATCATCATCATCGCCATGGCTGGGCTTTCTTGAAGTTTATGGATGTTGATGAGCACTGCTGGTTACGTAGGTAGCTTAGCTTGCTTATATACACAACACACTCAGGATTTGGAAACTCTTCGTATAAAATAATTCATTAATAATGCTGTTATTCGGATGAAGTGGAATTCCGGCACAGAACAGAAGTGCAAGAAGATATACATATGTCTCTCTCTATGAGATATGTTTTTAGGGTATCTTGCCGAGGTTTTGTAACGAGAGAATTGAGGCGGCGGTGTTTGTATATTTGTATGTTCCAATCTGACTTCGTCGTCGTTGTTATATACAAGTATCTTGCCGGCCTGCCGGGGTTTGCAACGAGAGAAAAACAATGAAATTACATACTCTATAAAGTTACTAATAGTTTTTTTGGCGTGCATTTTATCGCGGTAAGAAACTCATTATATTTAAAATAAAAATTTATCTATTCATTTAACAATTAGTTAAAATCAAATAATTCACAAAATACATCGGGTCAGATATAATTCCATAAACTTTACGCAGTGTCTTAATCATTATGAAATACTTATGTGATGCGTTTGCTTAATTGATACATAAGAAATTATCATCCCTTTATAAGTTTACATGTATAGAATAATGTATGAAAATATTTCGTAATGTGTGATTTGATAAAAAAAACAAATTATGAAAAAGTATCGGCGGAATCTGTAGTGCAGTCACTGCACTAATGCCGCCATCCTAAAAGCCGTTGGATTTCCAAAGTGCAATGAGGACGGTTGATTATGACCATCACTTAGCCATAGTAGGTTGAACCGGCAGGTTGAACCCATTGTATATTTAAATCATTTATTATATATATTTTAATGTTGAAACAGAAGAAAAATGCTGGTTCGTTTCACTATTCAGAATTAATTATTTTTTTTATTTTCTTGCTTCTCGTTGCCGAAATATCCTGCTCAGTCGTTAGTCGAACAGTTTTCTAAGGAAAACGAATACTCTTGATCGCCGGCAGGAAGGGGAGGTGAACAGAAAACGAATTCGCAGTTGAGGCATAAGGATAAGGTTCATCTTCTTGTCCTCAATCTGATCACACTATTCCGACAATCTATCACGGCAAAGTTGTATTCTCCAAATAGCCGCGAAAAGAATTATACTCCGGGACCATTTTCGACGGAATCCCTCCGTATAGCTACGCTGCAACACCATTCTCATCGCTGGGGGAGCCTCGATGGCGATTTTGAGGGTATCGCAGCAGAAACGAAGGGCGGCGATGACCAGAAGGAGGATACGAGCCTGACGACAGTGGTGATTTTGGTGGTGAGGTCGATCGACGACAATAGCGAGGTGGTGGAAATTGAATCGGGGGGAGGGGGAGCCTTGATGACGATGGCGATTTCGATGGTGTCGCGGCAGGAACAAAGGGCGGCGATGACCAGAAGGTGGATACGGGCGTGACGACGGTGGTGATTTTGGTGGTGAGGTCGATCGGCGACAATAGCAAGGTGGTGGATTGCTCGCCGGAAGTCTGGGCTTGGTTTACAAAGCCACGAACAAAGGAGTGGAAGGGGCTGTGCTGTTTTTTGTTTTATTTTTTCCACTTTTTTATTTATTTATGATTTAGTAATTGAATTATCAAACCAGGGTCACCCAGTAATTTACAAACTCAACCATTCCAACCGGTCAGAAAAAAGTGGCGGCACTGGTACAGTGCCTGTACCGCAGAATTCCCCAAAAGTATCACATTTGATCAAACTAATATGAAAAACTTAACTTACCTTACGAAACCTTTACATACTGCAAATTGATGAGACAGTGAGAATTTTAGTTAATAATAAATGTATTTAGTCAATCATAAAAGAACTAAGTTACAAAATGTAACATTTGATTAAACTAATTTTGTTTAAAAAAAATTGAGCTTAATTTTTTCGTGTACTGCAAAATTAATGGTCAGCTGTTTAATTAATTATAAAGGAATATTTGTTCAAAGTTATATTACGGAAGAGTTGTCATAAACCAGTTGCTCCTAATAACTCGAGTTGTTGGGAGAATGTTATGCTTGATCTTATACCACTCTCTAACACGACCCCTCAAACGAAAGCCAACTCATGGGTTTTGAAGTTTGCACACAGGCCCACCATACCTTGTGCTTTAATCAACTGTTAATATTGGGGGTCGTGGAAGTTGATTACAGATGACGTGTGCTTGGAATGGTTCCGGATATTATCCACTAGTTAGATAGTTTTTTTATCTTGAGTGTGTTTTTGTTGTAATGTAGTATCAGTTGATGAGCGTTTTTCTTTGTTTTTTTAGTCTTCTCTTTTTGTGTCGTTCTTGGTTTGAGTTTTCGTCCCATCTTTGGGGTTTTTCTTAGTGTTTTTTCATTGTTGTTTTCAGTTTTGTTTCTTTCCTTGCTCTTTCAAACACATGACCACTTGGCCAAACTAGCTCTGATACCATGTCATAAACCAGTTGATCCCAATAACTCGAGTTGTTGAGAGAATGTTATGCAGAATCTTATACCACTCTATAACAAGAGTTTCGTAATATGTTTCTTTAAATTAAACCCAAAAGGTTGGCCTAGTGGTAATATGGAATTGAGAACATCCAGTACACCTTACTCTTAAATCTTGGAGCCAACAACCACCCAAAAAAATGTTTGTTTAATTAATGTACATACGAAATGACTATCCCTCCATAAGTTTTATGTAGTATCTTAATTATTATGAAAGACTTATCCATGCATTTTTTAATCGATAAATAAGAAATAAATATCCCCATAAGTTTTACCTAATGCATTTATAGCGTAAAAACTTCCTTAATATGGGATCTAACAATAAAAGCAAGTCAATATGGGGATGAAAATATCCACCAAAACTTATGTTCGAATATTGTAGCCAACAAATTAAAAAAAATATATGTTTGTTTAACTGATACATAAGAAATGACTATCGCTGAATAAATTTTACGTAATATCATAATTATTTGTGTAATGCATTTAGTTTACAACAACAATGATTCATTCTTTGATATCGTAACGATTTTTGTTTGATAAGACGCGTATTACAGTAATCAAAAAGCCAATAATCTCATAGATAATTCAGTTTACAACAACAATGATATATTTCATTCTTTGACTAAACCTTGCTAGCTAGCTCCTCCCACAAGCTTGCTCCGCACAGTACTGTTGCTGGACGTATTTATTATTATCTTAAGGAGCAAGGAAAACGGCTCTATCGATCGACATCAAGCAACGAAGCAACTGCAAACGTCGATGTCACAGTCGCAATTCATGTAGTACGCGTCATCACACCCATTAGGGTAAAGCTGAAGGCAGTTTTCGTAGGTGCAACTACCACCTACTTCAACACAGTCTGTCTGAACGGAAACATTATTATTATTGCTGCTGCTGGAAGTTGCACGAGGTTGTCGTCGTCGGCCTGCGACAGCTGGCAGTAGTGTCCCTGATCTGTTACTGTTTGGATCAAATTAAAAAGCTGATACATAAGCGAGCTGTGTTGGGCTTTAACAAACCCTAGCTAAAATGGAACAAGGTGGGAGTACTGGGCTTCTGGGATCGATCGCGAGTTTCGTACCTGATATTGATCTGACCATGGTATATGAGGTTAGAATCGTTGGTAGCGATTGTTGGAGCAGTAATCGTTCTCGCCGATTCGCTTGAAGCTGGCTGCAGAAGCATGCATAAGATGGAGGGAAGCAAGATGGCCAACTTGGTGATAGTATTGGGCGGCATGATCATCATCATCGCCATGGCTAGCTAGCTGGGTGTTCTTGAAGCTTAAGTGTGTGTGATATTATGTATCTTAAGTGGTAGGTAGCTTCTGCTTATATACAACATTTTGTATATAGTAATCAGTAGTTAATAATTAATTATGTTTTTTATTCAGATGAATTGGAATTCCGGCACACAATAATAAGTACTTAATTATCTTGCCGGGGTTTGCAACGAGAGAAGAGTGATGAGGCGGTGTTTGTTTGTATTGTTATACAAATTAGTATCTCGCCGGCCGGGGTTTGACGTTGCATCTCGCACTACAAAAAAACACCCCTATACCGTGGGTTCCGTCGTAGGGGTTCAATGGACCCCTGCTAACATTTTTGAAACTCATCCTTGCAACGGTTTGTTCCAAGGGTACAATAACCCCTGCTACATGCGTAAGCTAATTCTTGATATGAAACCCCCCGTCCTGTTTCGTTCCCAGTCTGGAAAATCTTATTTCCGCTTCTTCGATCTTATTCTTCTTTCCAATCCGATTTTAAGACCCGTTATCATCACCGATATCCTACCATCGACGCACATTTCACTTCACTTCTCTGTCTCCTCTTTCTGCTCGATTTCCGAATTCACTTCGACGTTCCTGCAAGACTGGGAGAATATCCAGTGCCATAGAATTTGATTTATGTGCATTCTGTTGACGATTCCATTACAAGGAGAAGATGGAGGAACAGAGCTTCCATTAACATCATTTCAGCATCATTACCGCCATCAGCTCCGGCGAATCAGTTGACGATTCTCCGATTCTATGATAAGGTAATCTCTCTCCTTCTCATGTTCGATTGCGAGTTCTCTCCGGATTGAGAAGCGATTGTTATATGAAAACCCTAGAATTCTACATTTGGTTCACCGATCGTCGCCGCTCAAATGACTTCCATCAACAACCTCGCTGCCAACTTGGCCACTTGTTCTCGTCTCGTCCAAGTGCGTCTCTCCGCCTTCTCTATTTTTCATTGCTTTCATCAAATTTTTCTGCCTTCGTTTTGAATTTCTGATTCCCGTAGAGCTTGAATCTTTGATTACTAATTTGTCGTCGCTAGCAATTTTCAATGACAATTATGGAAGTTCTTTGTTTTCCTCTGTTTTAGGGTTTAGACTTTCACTTGTTTCTCAATGGCTATAGTTCAGATTCTCCCCAGAAGTCGTAGTAATTCTGGACGGCCATTGCCAAGTTTGTTGATGGGAATAAAAGAACTCTATATAGATAGATTGATAGATACCAGAAATGAAGTTTCAGCTAGGTAGTTGGGATAACATGTCAACCATAATTTGAGTGTGGAGAACTCTATACTCTGAATGTGGACTGTCCATTTTGGTTGCGAAGCCAGGAGTAGTACATTACATCTTCTCGGGACCTTACCAAGTTAATATGAATTTGTTTCTAGAACAAGTTTTGAATTAAAAGAATTGGTATCGCTGCTAACTAAGTTTTACAATTCATTATTATTAAGGAAGCAACATCTGTTGGGGCATTGTGCTTACCATAAAGTTTCTCATATATCGGGGCTAAGGATGGGACAGTTTAAAGGTTGCAGAGCCTCTTGATGGACCCATTATGAAACAGTATTGCTCTTTGCCGAGGTGATATGAATTGTGTTGTTTGCTTCATTTTGAACGCTATCAGATTGGCGTAGTTTCTGATTTTCAGTTATCCAAACTTACTAGCTTCTAAGTTTTGCATGGTTGTTCAAGGAGTCATCAATCTGGCTATCACTAGAAGGATTCCAAGAAAAGGGATGCAGGTAATATCAGAAGCACATATAGGACGATACACCTGTAAGAAGCTCTTACTTACAGTTTAACATACCAAACCTAGCTCCCTTGTCCTTCATATATTAACATCTTCATTTACTCATACAAGAAGCCGTTTATTTGACTATGTTGATGCATTGTAGATTTGGTATTACTAATTCCATGAAGATATAAGTTGGTGGTAGGTTTATGAGGGCTTGTTGAGGTCCTGATCTCCGTAATGCTGAAAATTGTGAGTCTACCCCTTTGGCTCTTGCTAGTCGGGTGATTGTAAAACTGCTGCAACTTGTTATTAGGGGTGGCTATTTGGACCGGGACCGGATTAAAAACCGGAAACCGGACCGTATAACCCGGACCGAGACCGGACCGGGACCGGATAGTAAACAATCCAATCCAATCTTTGGGCTTAGATTTGAGGTAAAAAACCGGATAAAGACCGGATAAGAGAGCTCAACACCCAAAACTTAAGGTAATTTGCATAGACGGTCACAAACCTTTGCACTTAGTACAAAACTTAACCAACTCCTCACCCTTTAAGGCCTTAGGCCACTCAAATCCCACAATCTCAATGTAAAATCAAGACCAAATTGGGACCGGACCGGATCAAAACCGGACCGGATCAAGACCGGATTGTATCCAATCCAATCTTCGGTCCTTATATTTTCAAAAAGACCGGACTGGACCGGATCAATTTGGGCCAATTTAACCGGACCGGACCGTATAGCCACCCCTACTTGTTATAACTATGAATTTTGCTGTATCATCTACTAAGAACATGTTTTTTTATATATAGCTCTCATTTATGCAAGCTTGATGCATTCGTAATGGTTTCTTTGGCTGTATATATGCTTGCAGGGTTCAAGCAACTAAATGACAGATATTGTTGTGGGAATGGTTCCAAGGTATGTAGCTCCCTAGACCTTGGCTGTGGCACTAGTTATTATGAAGAGAAACTTAATTACATCTCAATTGTCAGTAATTAAGCCAGCTATGTCCTGTATGCTAGCTCTTTTGAACTAATTATCACTGTCCAAGGATATGTTTATTTCTTTAACTAGAAGAAGTTAGTGTTAGAAACAAACTGTTGCATATATAGGCCACCTTTACGAATGCATTATAAGTATGATTTTTGCTAGTGATGCTGATACTGCATAACATGTGCTGAAGTGCTCATGATGCTCTCGTTTTGGGAACGCAGGAAAGAGCAGCAGGAGGCAAAGGAAGGGAATCAAAATTGATATTTATAAGAGGAGCTATAGTCATGGCTACCTTTAATAGTAATATAGATGTGCATATCTATGCAAAGGTAATTACTCATTTTGTGTCATAAACTATTGAAGCATGAGATAAATGACTATTTAGATGATGAACCAGAATACATCAGTCGTCTCCTCTCTTTACCCAGAAACTGTGCAAGCTTATTAAAGCAGAATCCTCTTCCTTTCAGAATTTTTTTTCCAGTTTGATATAAATTTTTGACAATCGCCTTGCATTAAGTTTAACCTTTACTCAATTCATGTCAAAATTTAATTTCTTGTCGACTCTGAACTACTTGTTAAGGCATGAACAAAGTAAGAGTTTAAGAAATGTTTTGTTGTTAGTTGAGGTTTGATGTGGATGTTCTGTGTGGAAGGGTGTACAAGGAAAACAACTTCATAGAAGCTAGTAACCTTTTCTCTATCTTACTTTATCCGTAAGGGATAATGTATCTTGTGTGACCTTGTTGTGTGTCTTTCTCATTTTGTTATAGGAAACTTTATCAGCAGCTCCGATTCCAGCATAAAGCTTTGGTACTGAACTTAATCTCAATTAAAGACTTGAGATTAAATCCGAAACTTCACTCCTAGTTTACCATGACGAAGTTCTTCTTTAATCATCTGGTTCTTTTCTCTGTAAGTGATAGTTATCAATCATAAAACTACTTTGAAGCAACGTTGTTTGTAAGTGAATACAAACAACGTTGGCTCCCATTTGTTGCTTGTTTTCTTGCTTGCACCCATAAGCTACTTTGTTTATATAGTATTTTCCTTTCATATAAGTTTGTTTTTAGTTGGATGCTACTTAGAATTTGCTCATGTTTTGGCTCCACCAGACACATAAAGAAGAAGAATGTTTTTCACACAGGAGGAAGGAGTTGCATTGCAAGGACGAGAAAGCGACTGGTAAAACTTTATTTGTTTCTGTTTTGCTTTATGTGCATTCTTATAAATAATATGATCAGATTTTGGTCTAATCTAAATTCTAATATGTTACAATGATTGCAGAAGGAAAAATTAGGCAGAACTCCTACTAGGCTTGAAGTTTTCGAAGCTAACCATAAGAGAAAGGACGGGACATACATCAATGATCATGCTAAGGAGTTCATGGTAATTCCTATGGTAGCTCCTACTCATATGTGAAATGAGAGACATAGTTTGCTTTAGTAGATTAGTAGTGCTGCTGGTGGTGTTTGGTATTTATCTAACATGTGATTTTGCTGCAGGATAAAGCAAATGAAATGGAGGGACCTAGTGAGGAGGTTTTCCAGAAGCTAGCAGGTCCAGAGCATCCTGGGAGGCTTCGATGCATGGGGTTAGGGCCAACTCAGAGCGCATATTTTGGAGTTTACTCGCGTGGGGCTGCATCTGGATCATGCTCATGTTCATGTAGTCATTCGAGTGAAGATGTACCAACTTTGAAAGGAGAGTTAAGTGAGGTGAAGAAAAAAATGGAGGTCATGGCAAGGTTCATCAGTAAGCAATATCCTGGGCAAAATTGGATGGAAGATGCTGAAAACAATCCGGTAATTTCTCTCCCCTCCTTTTCTCTTGTTTGAGGTAGTTTTGGTGTTGCCTGGGCAAAATTGAACGGAAGATGCTTGAAATGACAAATCTGCCAGTTCCGATGTGTCTTTGGTGTGGTCCTTGTTCTGTTCATGCCATCGAATCGTTCTAAATTTGAAATAGTCAATTGTTGCTTCCTCTAATCTAGGCGTGACAGCTCCTAGCACTTGACTGCAATTCATCGTCCTCCGCTCCTGTGCTCTAATGTTTGGCCATTAGTTCTGATCCCTTTTTCGTTATAAATTATGGATCATCCGTGGTGAAAAAAGCTTAATGATGGCCAGCTTATGTTTTTTGTTTTTTTGTTTTGTAGAATCTTATGTTTTACTTTACTGTAATGAGGTAGAGCATACTGCTTATGGATTTTTTGTTCCATTAACGTTTATGATGGTTTGCAGAGGAATGGTGTTTTTTTATATTATATATTGTAGAGGATGATGGTATTTGAGTTGATTGACTAGTATAGTAGTTACATTTTATGTTCTTCTTTGAGGGAGTTTTCTTGCTTAGAGATATTGGGCTTTTATGTTTTGCTAGCCTCGGTTGTCTCTGCTTTTTAATAATAATAGTTGTGCTAGCTTGTTGGTATCATTTTCAAGTGTTGTCTCTGCATTTTTGCAGCTTCAGTTTCTTAATCTCTTATAGCAATTTTGTTAGAGGTAAATGTTTGATAATTCTTTTCCTTTTCTTTAGGGTGCCAGTACTGCCCCATCTTTGGGTTCTCGAGCTTCTTGATGCCGTGATGCTCTTAGATGAAGCTCTTAGATGAAGGATGTTGAATCATGTAGGTACTTTTGAGTAATATTCTAGTAGGTTGTTATGTTTTTAGGGATTATATTATGGTACATGGAATGTTTGAGGTAAATGATTAATCATGGTACGGATTATGGAATATTTACGGTTTTGTATGGTATGTATGGTACGGATTAGTGAAAGACGGTATGAATTTGGTCACTATTGTATATTAGGTTCTGAGTTTATTTGTAGTGACTATAGTATTTGCAACCAAGTTATAACCACCAACTTTGGTGGTCCTATTTAGTGACAGCTTTGAATTTATTTTTAGTGACAGCTTTGCATTCTCTTTAGGGACGGTCTGATTTTGTCACAAATTTTTTTTATATTAGCCACCAATTCAGCAGGGGTTTAAACCCTTGGAATAAATGTAATTCAAATGAAGCTTTAACATTCACTAGCAAGGGTTCCGACCGTAGCTAATTTAACAACGCATGTAGCAGGGGTTAGAACCCTTGGTAGGAACATTTCCTTGTTGGATTTTAAACTGTCATGTAGCAGGGGTTCTACCCCTTGCTATGAGTAGCTGCGGTTTTAACCCCTGGATGGAACTTCCACCGTGGGTTTCTCAAAACCCTTGCTATCCATAGTAGGGGCAGCATAGGTGAGGGTTGATCCAGGGGTTGTACAAACCCTTGCTACAATTTATAGCAGGGGTTAAAACCCCTGCTACAGGCCAATAAAACCCTTGGTATAGCTCCCTTTTTTTGTAGTGTCGATGCGATGTTGATCAATAATTATAGGGTGTTGATAGTGAGGGAGACCATAGTTTAGAAACTCTTAACAGTTTAGTAAATGAATTTATACATACGAACTAATTCGGTGTACGTTGTTTGTGTACTGGAGTGAATTCAAAGTACCTGTGTACGAAACTCGATCCTTAACAGGGGTTTCATCAAGATGAGATAAATTGCGAAATATATATATTACAATAAAATCTAACACAATAGCATTTAGCTAATTTGAGATATTGTTCTGCAAGTATTCTATAATACCCTCATTATCAAAGCATTCAACTACACCGCCCCCAATGTCTGCTATCAGATAGTCATTCATTGAGTCATCGGCAATTCGATCTCTAAGCTCTTTCTTGATGTACTTTGTTGTACGAGTAGAGGTTCGTTCAACACTTGTCCTCCCTGCAATTGGCAAAATCAGGGCTAGTTTCACAAGCAAGTAAACTAACGGATACATCATATGCTTCTCGGTCGCCACCATGCCCCGTGAAAGCGCCTCAATTCCTTCCAATCCTCTAAATCTCTCATCAAGCTGAATATCTTGAATATAAGCATCCAACTGATTCTCAAGAGGTATGATATCAGCATCAGAGAACTCACTGGGATAAAATGTAGCAAGCTTCATGACCATTTGTTTGTTGAAGTCTTTAAATGACTTGTCTGGAATTAAGCAGCCCATGCACTTTAACAATTCCGTATTCACCCCATCAAACTGATTATTTAGCTCTTGCAATTGCATATCCACAACGGTATAAAACAACTCAACTTGAAAGTGATGCAAATTCGTTCCTTGTTGAATATTTCGTCTGGGCATTCCAAGTGGAGCATAAGGATCGTCCATATTAAGAATATGAAGATAGTGCTTCTTGCAAAAAGAAAGTACTTTATCGAGAAGAGGCTTCCATCCTTCCTGCCTCAATCGTTGAAATATAATCTTTGCCACATGAGCAAGACTCATGGCATTGAAAATTTGCTGCTCTTTCATTTGCAGCGCTCGTGACAAAATATCTGCATTCCCTAGCACTTCAATCATCATTTTCAAGATGAAGGCAAAATCAAAAGTCTGAACCAACATCAACATTGCAATTGCTTCTCCTTTTGCTTCAGAATTCCCCTCGCGTCGAATGATATCTAGGCCGTCAATCACATCAGAGAACATCACATCCAAAATAAGAAGTGTTTCGAAAAGTGACCGACCAGGACTATCATGATTCCTTTCAAGGCCAATTTCTCGATTCAACTGCCTTCCATTCCTATGATCAGCTCGAAATAAAGCCTCTGCCACTTTCGCAAATTGACCGCCTCCAGCACTGTCATTTCCTTTATTAGGTGCTTCCACTAAACTGATCAATCTAGTGACAGTTGTAAAGAAACAGCTCACATCACCATGGTTTTTAGCAATAGCAACAAATGTCAACTCAAGTGGATGAGCAGAACAGTGAACATAATATGCAGATGGATTCTCTGCTAAAATCAGATTTTTGAGTTCATTGACTTCTCCTTTTATGTTTCCATTGTAACTCTGAGCCCTTATCCTTGACAAGCTCAATCCATGCTTCCCAAGCATTGATTCAATCCCCATCTTAAGTGTCAAAGCTTTAGTATCCGGAAGATGAGAAATACCAAGAAACCTCTCCTCAATGTATCCATCTTCATCCACATACCGCAAAGTAATAATGAGATGCTCCTTACCTGATGCATCACAAGCCTCATCCACATAAATGGAAAAAAGGCCATCTCCAAGTTCTCCAATTATATCTGCAGTTATTTCAGCTGCCATTGCACGAACGATGTCTCTTTCTTTCTCTGGAGTGGTCAGCTGGCGAATTTTCGGAACATAACCCCACGGCCTCATACCATTCTCACCCCACATGACAGTGTACAAATTGTCTCGATCACGAACATGAAAGCTCAGAATGTCATAATAATCACCCTGATTGCTAGAAGACTCTGATCTGCCATATCCATGAAGTATCAACCCATAGCTTATAAGAAACTTGATGCACTCAATTGCAGCCTCCAAGGCAATCCTATCGTCGCTCTCCATTGGTTCCGGTTGATCACCCATTGCAACCTCACACTCTTGGGATATCTTTCGTCGTAAACCCGGATAAGCTTTCAAAGAATTCAAATCAATCCCAATTTCCTTACAGGGAGCGGAAGGTTTAGAAAGTTGAGTGGTTTGAGTTGCCGCGCATTTGGGACGCTTACTTGGCCTTGGTTCGGTAGCTTCATGAGAAGAAGGCTTTGAAGTAGTGTTGCCCGTTCTACTGAAGTATCTCTCCATAGCTGACCTCAGCCCTACATATTCAAATGCACATACTTTACTAAAGAAAGCCAAAGGAATCTCTGATTAAACACACCCATTACTGGCCAGTAATCAAACAAAATGTAGAATAATAAGAACAACACTCGGTGCCCCCATTGATTCAAGCTCGAAAGTTTGAGGCTTTTTACCTCGGCCGTAGGGGCGGAGTAGACTGGAGTTATGAGAACAGCGGAGTCGAGGAGAGAGAAGCGAGCGCCGGCGGGAGGCCAGTAATGGGAGAATGGCTGGCGGGAGCAGGAACGAGCTACCGTCGGGTTTAGGGTTCAGAAGATGTAAATTGGGGGAAAACCGAAAAAGAATAACAAAGGAATGCGGCGGGAACTGGGAAGGGAAGCAGAAATTTGGGCGGGAGACGAGAGTTTCTCACAGTCAACATACCCAAACTTCTCAACGATTCCTTCAAAGAACCCTCATTTTTAGTTTTTTACTTTCCTCACCTATTGAGATTAGCAAACATTTTTTTAGCTTAATAAGAGAATATTATGATAACACCTTGTTCAATTTTCAAATCACCGAAAATATTTAGGAAAACTTTGCAAATGTAAAGTCTTCATATCAAAAGTGTTCAAATTTCAACATTTTAAAAAAAAAAATTTCCACTCTTTTTTTGAAAGCCTCCACCATGTTTGTTTTCCTTATTTAGTCCATTGAAGATATGAAAATCGAAGCGGCCTTTCTTTATAAGAACTATACTGACATCCTTTCTGTAGATGACGACCCAATAATCTTGGTATTCAACAAAGGTGCATTTACAAAAAAAAAAAAAAAAATCAAAACTAGTTTTTTCAACCTCGATGGCTTTAATAATGTTAGTTCTTCTCTTTTAGTTCGTCAAAGATTGCAAGGAACTTTCATTCGGAATTTCAATCGCGAGGAAGACTTCTGAATTCGGGATGAGTATTTGCTGTCATTAGAGGTGAAAGTTTAGTTTACAATTTGTGGATAACTCGCACGTACATATTGTGGACAATCACATCCACAATTAATGGGTAATGGGTTAAGGGTGGTTAGCAAAATCTTTAACTGTGTGGTTAACCATCAACCACAATGAATAACCCACTATGACCAATTAATAATATAACAAAAAATTCCTTACCTTTAAGTTCACCATACTTATTGGTAATATTTTATAATGAATGGAGCAAGGACGAATTCAGTAAAGAGCTAAAATAACTCACTGCCAAAATGGAAAATTATAGCTTGTGTCATGCGCAAGGTTGTCAACTTGCGGGCTGACCCGGACCCGATCGAACTAGTGGGTTATGGGTTAATAGGTCGCCCGATTTAGCCCGAAAATATGAAAAGATTCATTATATTGTTGTTGTCAAGATAAATTATATCAAATCTCATCTAACATATGAGTATTAACATATAATATTACACAAAAATAACATGTCGTACTTAGATATAACATATAGTGAAAATCCACACACACTTATATAACATCAATATTCAAATGTTCAACTTAGGATTGCAAAAATTGAGTTAGGCGAAAAGAAAAATCGGAAAATAGGCGCATTTCGCAAAAAAAAAAAAAGACACAATTTGACTTCCAACCCGGTACCTTGTATCGATTGACCCGGTGGGTGCGTGCGGCCCGTTTTTCTCACTGAGTCATGGTCAAAGTGGGTCGACCCGCGGGTTGTCAACCTTGGTCATGCGGGATTAATTTGCATTTTCTAAAACAAAAGTTTTTGTCTCTTTATTCTCCATCACAATAGAAACCATGTGGAGAGTTCATCCTTCCGCCCACCTCGTCGATATCAAGCTCGAACTCGCTTCATCCCGTATCCTTCACTCATTTAACTATTAATCTGGGAAAAATATTAACGGGATGAGACATCACTCAATGAGCAAATTCTAATCTATTAATAATATCGATACTACTATCATAACGAGTGAAGTCAAATCCCGTCTACTAAGCAAACTCTCATAATTTTCTTAACATGTATACCTCATTTTTATTTCAATTATAGTCATAATCCTTTTTCATACCTCGAGATTCGTCAACAAAATCATCATCATTAGGCATAGTTCTCAAGGTTTTAAACCCCCCTCACCTTTCCATCTCCTCCCAACTAATTCAAGAAGTGAGATGGGAAAAGAAAGAAGGGAGGAAAGGAAACCATACCTTGCTTTCTTCTTCTAGTGACCCTTACTTCCTAACTCTCGATCTCCCTTATTGTGGTTCAGATTTTGGGGGAAAGTTTTGGGAAGAGTTTAGTTGATGGTGTTGGTATTAAGAGCAAGGAAGGGGACGAGAAAAATGAGAAGGGAGAGGGTGCAGAATTCCTCCTCCCTCCCATCACCAATGGCAACTTGGCCTAATCAAAATTGACTCCCACTAATCCTTCTAACTCAACACTAACCATGGGTCTTCTTCACCACGGTACTAGGTTAAGTGGTTCATTCCTTAACTCAACTTAACCGAACAATACGTAATGATAATGTAATGTTTTAACTAATTCGTGATTTTAAAACTGATCAAAATATCGTAACCACGTCATTAATGATCTAAATATGAGTTATATTGTATATGAGGGAAGAGAATGTTACAAGTTGCAAATAGCGAATCTGTTGGTGATGGCCACAACACCACGCCTACGATGACGAAATTTTTATGGGTAATCACAACCAACCCACAGTAGATAGTGGTAATTCACTGACCACTGCGATGTGATTTGTGGTTTGCTGACGCGTATGTGGCGGTCCCAAGGACGGTGAACCCTTCGGTTGGGCCGCGGAGGAGTGATCGGGCGCCCCGACCCAATCCCAAATATGCGGCCGAATAGGAGTTGGGCTTGTTTCCTTACTTTGTTCACTTTGTTTCTTTGGTTTCCTTAGCTAGGTCGGATTAGGTTTCGTTTACTTCCTTTCCAAGTTATTGTATGAACTCTATATAAGTTTGTTTTCGTAATAAGATCGGCAGAAGAAGAAAACCCCTAAAACCTTGTGTTATTTACTTTTATCACTAGTTTGCGCCGATGCTTGGTTCGCCAATGCATCAATTGGTATCAGAGCCCGGTTCGAAAGAACCGAGCTCGCTGCTGCTGCGGCTCCCAAGGCCGAGGAAGGCTGGCGATCTCCCGGAGCTGTTGGAGAACGCGTCCAGCACCACCGCTGCGGAAACCCTCGGCGATGACCCAGCCGGCGACGGCGACCAGGTGCAGTCGACGAACAAAGATCCGCCCGACGCCGAAATTACGGTCTTCGCATTAACCGGAGTCTCTCACCCGGCGACGCTGCGGTTTGAAGGGAAGATTGCGGCAACAAGCATTGTGGCTCTACTAGACAGCGGGTCTACTCATAATTTCGTCAGCCGCGAGGTGGCAAAAACCCTAGATCTCCCGGCGAGTCCCATTCCTCCCTTTCGTGTACAAGTGGCCAACGGTGAAACACTCACCTGTAACCGCTGCTACGAAGCTGTTCTCTCGCCATTCAAGGGGAAACTCTCGAATTCAACCTCTACGAGCTGCCGATTCAGGGCATGGACGTGGTCCTTGGAATTCAGTGGCTACAACTCCTGGGGCCCGTGACAATGGATTGGGAGAAGCTGACCCTCCGTTTTTGCAAGCCAGGGCACTGGGTCGATCTTCAGGGAACCAGGAAGACGACCACACGTGATGACCAGCTTCATCACTTGCGAGCCCGAGAAGTGGCCGTCTGGGCCATATGCATGCCCGATGCCGCGGGAACGGTGACCGAAGCCCCACCAGAGATGCATGCGCTTCTCGATCAGTTCGGGGATTTGTTCCAAATCCCGACCAGCTTGCCACCACGACGAGCAGTTGATCATCGCATCACCCTTCGAGAGGGCGCGGAGGCAATCAATGTGCGCCCGTATCGGTATGCACACTTCCATAAGGAGGTCATCGAGCGCCAAGTCCAGGAGATGCTCGACTCGGGACTCATTCGACCCAGTTCAAGTCCTTATTCTTCCCCGGTTTTGCTAGTAAAGAAAAAAGACGGGACATGGCGGTTTTGTACGGACTTCCGCGCTCTCAACAAAGAAACCATCAAGGACCGATTCCCCATCCCGACTGTCGACGACATGCTGGATGAACTACATGGTGCGTAGTATTTTTCGAAGCTGGATCTGCAGGCCGGATATCACCAGATTCGAATGCACGAGGATGATATTGCCAAAACCGCTTTTCGAACTCACAGTGGGCACTACGAGTATGTTGTCATGCCATTCGGGTTGTGTAACGCGCCCTCGACTTTTCAGGCCGCCATGAATGATGTCTTTCGGCCCTTTTTACGGAAATCGATACTGGTGTTCTTTGATGACATATTAATATACAACAAGGATTGGGATACTCACCTCCAACGTCTGCGGACGGTCTTAGAATTGCTTCGACAGCATCAATATTACGTGAAGAAGACTAAGTGTGTTTTCGGACACCAACGACTTGAATACCTCGGCCACATGATCTCACCGGGAGGAGTTCAGGTTGATAATGTCAAGATCAAGGCGATGGTGGACTGGCCGCGACCGTGCACTGTCACGGAGCTTCGCGGTTTCCTGGGGCTGACCGGGTACTACCAAAAATTCGTCCAGGGGTATAGCTCGATCGCAAAACCCCTCACCATGCTGCTCAAGAAGGGTCAGTTTGGCTGGAATTCCGAGGCCGAGGTCGCGTTTGGGAACTTGAAGCCAGCTATGACCACGACCCCAACATTGGCCATGCCTGACTTTGACGAGTTGTTCGTCATTGAGGCCGACGCGTCTGGAAAGGGAGTGGGGGTCGTCCTCTCCCAGAAAGGCCATCTCGTTGCCTATATGAGTCGGACGTTGGGTCCGGCTAAAGAAGCATGGTCGACATACCAGAAGGAAATGCTGGCCATTTCTCTAGCAGTACAGTTTTGGCGGCCATACCTCCTGGGCCGAACTTTTCATATCTATACGGACCAGCAGAGTCTTCGCCATTTGCTGGAGCAGCGGATTACCACCCCAGATCAACAAAAATGGGTGGCCAAGCTAATGAGGTACGATTACAAAATTTTCTACAAGCCGGGGTTGACGAACAAGGACGCGGATGGCTTGTCGCGCAGTGGGGGAGGCGCTGTACTCCATTCCTTGACAAGCCGACCTCGACGTTCTGGGATGAGGTCTGCGCGGCCGTCATTGGTAACCCCTACTTGCAAGAGCTCCAAGCTAAAGCAATGTCCGTAGACCCAGGGGAGTATGAGTACAGGTCGGGGTTGATTTTTTTTCAAACACCGGGTCGTGCTTCCTCCGCAGTCATCACTAATCACCACTGTTCTCAAGGAGTTTCACGATTCGGTTGGTGGTGGGCACTCGGTCATGGATCGTACGATGCGGCGACTTCAGGGTCACTACTACTGGTCACAGATGGCGCAGTCGGTGCGAGATTATGTGGGTTCCTGCAATATTTTCCAGCGGGTTAAGGTGGCAGGGTTGGCACCGGCCGGGCTGTTGCAGCCGTTGCCCATTCCGCGGCAGGTCTGGGAGGAGATCTCGATGGATTTCATTGAAGGATTACCTTGCGTAGGAGGTCGCTCAGTTATTTATGTAGTGGTGGATCGCCTCACAAAATATGCCCACTTCATGAGTATGGGGCACCCCTACACCGCGAAGTCCGTTGCAGAGGCATTTATTGATGGTGTTGTGCGACATCATGGGGTTCCGTCC